CTTTGACCAGAACGTGCTTAAATCTTGACGCAATACGCGCGTGATACGATGTGTTCATGCGTGAAAACACGCGTGAAATAACGACCTTCAGCCTGAATGAATGATTCGCGGAAAAGAGCTTCAACGAAAGCGCCTTACTGAAGTTTAATGGAATAACACTGTTTACTTCCACGCTTCCTTTCCATGAAAAATGTCTTTCGAGAGACATTTTCCCCTTACGATTATTAAAAAAATTACTGTAAAGAAAAAATTGAAAAGGTTATAGCGGTACTTACAGTTTTCGGATGAGCCTTGGTTTTTCCTTGTAGAATTTGATCAGCCGTTTAGCGATCTCGCTATCTGACTTTGAAATAGGAAAGGCGAGCGCTGGAGCGAGGAAGAAGTAAACTCCAGCTGAAACATTCACAGTCAGTGACAGGACTAAAAAGAGAAACAGATTCGACGAGAACATGATTTCCAAATTTCATTTCGGAGTTTCAGCAAAGAGAGATATAAGTAGTTTAGTCTGTGGACCTCCAACCGATCCTCATTTAGGTGTAAATGTACGGAAGACGATGAAATCACACAGGAACTGGGAACTGGCAACGTTCTGAGATAATTTTTCCTAGACTAAATAAACATACGATCCCTTGCGGTCAGAGTTGGTCGCACACGGTGTAGTAGGAATTAAACTGTCAAATCTTCTTTTCCGCGAAATACTGCGTACTGGTTGACTGACGTTTCTGAGAAATTATCACTTTCGTTTTTGCGTCGCTTCTTATACTCTATCGGTGAAGTACATTAGAGCCCCTCGGTGCCAGCGGAATATATTCTTTTCAGCAAAAACTTCCTGGATCTCAGTACCTTAGTAGCAGAGTGCAAATCAACATGTAAATTATTACAGACAATAAACTTTGGCCTCAATTAAATGTGCAATTTTTGTTTTCGGCTTAAGCGGGGTCAGTGAGGTCTCATTTACCGGAAGTAAACATCGTGGGTCCTGGTATCCTAAGTTCTACGATAAACATTTCTACAAGAACAAGGGAAATTCATTCATGCAATACCGGTGTATTGGTAAAATGTAAATTACTTCGAACATTTAAACCCGGGAAACGACATTTTATCGAATAGAGATCTTCTTCATTCAAAGAAAAGTCTGCTACTTGTAACAAAACGAAAATAGAAATCCGGTGTTCTTTAAAAAAGCATGACACATGCTAGGTTTTGTTAATAATTCGACTTTCTTATAACCTCGATTCAGTTGTTTCTCTCACAGCGGATGTTGATAGCGGCGGTCGACGTCATGATACAAGGGAAGTCGTAAGAGACTGACTAATGAAATCGTAGTAAACAAACTGAGAGCTGACAAATTTTCCCTTGCGCTTGTTATTACCTTGTTCTCTTATTCAATTATTTTTTTACCTTCTATACTAAGATTTCAAAAGTTCCCTTCAATAATCTTAAGGTAGAACGGTTAGCAAGTAGTAACACCAGCTGACTGTACAGATAAACAGATGGACGTAACTCAAAAAAGGTTTAAAATTTACTGCCGGAAAGTTCCCTGTCATGAAAACTGGCGTAGATCGGTTGTGAAAAATGACATTGTGTTTTTAGGTAAGCTTGAAGTTTTTTTTTCGAGCTGACAGATCTCTCTTGTTGTAGTTTTTCTCATGACATAGCTTGCCGTTCTAATGTGAGGCAAAACAAAATCATTCACGGGTAGTTATTTCTATTTTTTCACACATTTGGTGTTCTGCAATAAATATACTTCACTCTCAGACCAACATATATAAATAATTGAGTAGTAGTTTTATGAGTTCAAGTCTTCCTGTTTTATTCAATGTAATCAATGACAATATGATAAAAGAATGTTCTTATTGCTTTTAACCACTATTCCATAACTCGAAAACAAAGGAGAAACGCGTCATAGTGGAACAAGTGTTCTTGAGTTGTAATTAATTCGAGCCTTAAAACTGTTGAGTCGGCCAATTCATTTTTTCGTGCTGCTATTTTCAAAATTTTTGAAGAAGAGTAATTTTATTTAACTTTACTACTCCCCCTTGACATTTGCAACGTCTTCCTTCCATTCTGTGGCTGTTAAAAGAAGATTTTGAAAACAGGAACATCAAAATGATGCAGCCGTGAATTCATAATTGCTGTCAGTTGTTGAGTTAGGCAAGCTCACGTAAAAATGATAAAGCAGCGCTGTTATGAATTCAATGCTTACAGTATACTCCATTTTTCAAAGAACTAAGATATTCAGCCGAATTATTTTCTGTAAGATAAGGAATTCTTTCATTCCTATTTCAAATCGTTTTGCATATTTTCGATTAACATCTGAAAGCTCTCCAATAATATTGAACTTATCCTGTCGTTTATTTTTAAAAACACGAACCCTTATATATCATGCATGCAAAATTGCTTCATACCCTGATCTTTACAACCAGAAAACATAGGCAAATTACAGAAACCGCACCGCCTTGCCGAGGAGATTTCTTTCTTTCGGAAAGACAATGTTTTTGGTCTCCTTTCATTCTTATGTCAGTCTGTCGATAATTATCGTGCACAAGAGTCCGAATTCATGCATAGAGAGCGTTTACTTAGCTAAAATTCCTTTCCTTAAATAACTCCGTCATAGTTTATTTTCGATGAATTCAGAGTACAGTTCTCGCAATTCCCCAACATTATTTTTCAAAGGGTTTAAACGCCATCCCGCTGTTCTCGCATGATCCTCTTTTGCTGAAGGAAGGATGTAAGCTGTTAATTCGTGATGTTGCTTCGCCACAATACTTTTAGATGTGCACGTTTCACACAAAGGTATTAAGCGAAACAGGAACCGTAGGTCGCCCCATGTTGGCTTAGCACTCGAAGCTCGAGACAAAATATTAGAATCTGTTAACTGTGCAACTGGCTTTCCGCGCTCACGTTGAAGCAAACAGGTAGCTGGTGGAGGGAGGGGGAGAGAAGAATTGGTAATGGGGGGGGGGGGGGGAGGCGGGGATGGAAAGGTCACAGAATTAAGTTTAGTCATTTGGTGGTCTTTTATTTTCTTGCACTCAATGTAGTCGCACATTTTTAAGTTTTTTTTTTTTTATCGCCTGGGTATTTAACACGGTTTGCCAAGATCCATAACTTTTAGCGGTGATTTACTTCGGATGGAGTTCGTACGATACTTGATCTGTCCATTATTTCAAGTATCACCTGCCTATGATAAAATTGCTTCAATGAGTATCATAGGCTATTTATGTTAAACGAGACGACACAGGAATTCCACTAAATCTTTCCGGCCATTCTGAAGAGATTCCATCCAGGAGGAAGGAGGATATAAAGGATTAACGATCACTCCAAGTTTAATTTTGTTGTTTGGTGGTCTGTATTCCTGAACACACTAACCTGCGCTTTGTGCCGTTTCGCCTCCGCGAAAACCAAAGCAGAGTGGAAAATACCCTTGTCGAGCGCCTCAAACAAGTTTGTTCGCGTAGAGCACGGTTTTTCAATGATGAAATAGGTTCTGGTGTAGCCCTCGCACAAAATGTAGGGACACACCAGCTGTTTAACCTGCTCAACAGAATTTACTGTGACATAGTCGAGGAACAGCTACAAAGTGCGAGTGTTAAAGGTTTCAAAATATATATTTTTTTTATCTAAAATTAGTTTTACCTGGCCTTTCCCTCGCCTAGCGCACTCGCACGACGATTCTCAGCACTTACTATAGGTTCAAAGGGATTTAGAACCGGTAAACAGAAGAAAACAATCCAAACGCAAAATTATGACCTTTATTGTCTGCCTCTCACCCATTTACGCACAGGAAGGACTTAAAATAAGTTAAAATAGGAGAGGACTTTGAATACGGACAGAAGAACTCTTATCAGGCACAATATTTTGACCGTCAACATTTTTAGAAAGAAGCACCAATATCACCCAATCACATTGCCTAGGAACCAATAAATTAATGAGTCCTCTCCCTCACTTGAGTGACCAAAATGGGATTTCTCCTCACAAAATTGATTCATTTGAGGTCCAAAAACATGATTAGCTCAAGGTAAAAAGGTGTGTAAAATTATAAGAAATTAATTTTTAAACCTCTCACTTACTAATATCAGTATACATATTCTCTGTGCTGTTATCCATGAATTTCCCAAGGTGCTGACGAGGAGAATTTATTTAACAATCAGGAGATTCTTTAGCTAGAGATAATATCCTTTCTTCTTGTGTGTGATCCAAGGATAATATTTAAGGAGAAAATTAGATGCTGGTTAAAAGGTTAAGGTTGTTACAACACTGTTAGGTAATTCACTGATTTGAGTTTTGGCCTCAATCTGCTTCGTGTGGGTTACTTCTCAAGGAAGCCAGTACAATTCTTTTGATTGTTGCAATGAGACAGGGGAAATTGTTCATTAGATTTTAGGAGTTAACAGTTTATTCATTGTTTGTTTCAAAATATATGGAATACATGTAACAAAATGCAGATGGTAACATAGCTGATTACAACTTGTGTTGGCACCAAATCTGCCATTAAGGTTTTAACCAGGTACAAGGTCTGGCCAAACTAAAACAACTGTTTTTTTAGGAGGATGTAAGCTAAGAAGCATAAGTCAACTCCTTGAGTGTTCAGGTGTTTGACTTATGCCATTCCATGTTTTCAATGCCAAAAGGAATAAAAATTATTTTCATCATTCACACATTGTTCACAAATGTAAAGACAACAAGAGTAACCATTTCTCATGCTGAGACAACAAATACTGGGGGGGAGAAAGGCGACCTATTATCATCATAATAGGATACATGAAAAAATTACTCAGTTCTGATTGGTAAAGATAAATGCATTTCAGGTAGTTCAATGTTCAGTTGGACTTTGAACTTTTTTTTGCATCTTAAAGATGTGAAAATATCATTGTATATTATTGTTTTGATCATACATGTCACTTGCAGGGTTTGAATAAATTATTTTTACACTTGATGCACATGCTTTACTTCTGCATAATTATGATAAGCTATCTCTTAAATTTTTAATACAAAGACCTCAAATTGCACTCACCCTACGCACTTGTGCAATTTTGTTAGTCTTTGAAAAATTTACTCGTGTTTATTTATTCCAAATTGCAATAGAAATCATATGATTACCTGCACTTATAAAAAGTATTCATCAAGAGCATTAACAATTACAGATTGGCTGAAGAGGAATCTTAAAGTAAACTTTCCATTGCCGTCAGCTATTCATGCCAGTTGAATGAGCACCCCTGTAGGTAAAAAAAATCCATGAACAGCTCACAGTCAGTTTATACTCATTCCAGGAAGAACAAAAGTGATCCTGCAAAATTAATTGAAGGGAAAACAGTCAAGTATTACACAATGCTTTGTGTCATTAACTTGTACAGCAAATTAGGCTACATGCACATTGCATCCCACATAAATTATATGTGCTGTGGCCACAATATAACAAAATGTTCTTTTCTGCAAAGAAGTGTTCTGATCCTCACTGTATGCAACTTGTCTCCTCTTAATCAGAGAAATCAACACACAGTAATTATAGAATAATCTCCAATGGAATATGTGACATTTGCTTGTCCAATAAATGAAACCTCTTCTTTCATAGCTGAATATCATCTTTTCTTTTCTATCACCAGCTTTTCATGTCTGTACATTTGACCTAAGGACACCTGCAAAAGATGCAATATAAAACATATCATATGGTCTTTCTCACTCTGTCTCTACCCAGAACACATTTCATGCTACTGATCAGAGCTAATATGTGGGACATTTGTGATATATAGACCTAACATCTGCCCTAGCTTACCTTCAACCAATGATTTTTCAATGGATCAGTTCATAGATTATCAAACTGCTAACCTAGATCTGGGCAGGGTTCAGTACTCACAAGTGTTTTTTGTTTTCACTTGTAACACATACTAAAATTGACACCAAACAATATCTAGTCTAACTCTTTTTTTTTTTTTTGCTGTTTTGGAAGTGTTAGTATCTAATCCTGATAACTTTGATAAAAGAAAAATGGCAAGTAAAGAATAAGAAAAAGATGAACAAGTACCTGTCTTTTCATTACTTGTAAACTATCCTCTGCTCTCTTAATTAGTGTCCTGATTTTTTCTGGATCTGAGATATCTTTGTTTTCTCTGAAGGCATCTTTTATTCTTCTGGTGGCATACATCCTAACATAAAGATTTAAACAACATCCATTAAAAGAGAAATTCCTCAGATTTACCTCCACAAAAAAAAGATTGAATTTGGTACGCTAAGCCTTTTTTGTATGCCATTTATCTGACCTCCCCAAATAACAAAAAAAGGCCAGTTGATGGAGATCCAGGATTCAATCATTTTTTACAGCTGTTCCAAGTAGCTTTTACAAGAAAACTGCTTCAAAGTAAATTAAGCATTCAGTTTTGCTTATGAAAGTATGCGAGTTTGTGAAGAATCCATTCCAAAGCTGTTTCGTGCACAGATTTTCTGCCAAGCCTGGAAAAAAGAGCAGCTGGGCTATCCAAAATTGAAGTATTTGCTTTTAAAATAAGTTGACATAGATGCTGAACTTTTCATGTGTTTAATTCAAGGTATTGGGTTATGTCATCAAAAGTTTGGTGTTTAAAGTGGGTCTTATGTGTATTTTCTTTTTTGGATCCTTGAGGTATGCTCTTTGTTTTGATTGCCAATAAAGTTGCTATTAAGGATCAAGCTTGCTATTGAAAAATATTCTAGTCCACATGCTTTGTAGGCCTATTTGTGTAACACCTAAGTTAACCACAAGGATTTGGTATTCTCTGCAGAGTACAGTCAACCCCAATAAGATTTCAAGTGTTTCCTTTGCTTGTGGGCTCCAATTTTTATTTATTTTTTTATATTTTTTTAAATAATGAAAACTTTGTAAATTATCCCCTGCCACACTCCTATTGCAGAACACAGCAAAAATGAGAAAGTAAATCAGTTTCCAATCTTTATCTATGTCTTGTAAGTTTATGGTTTCTTTTGATGTTGAAAGTCTCTATACTAACATACCCCTTGAGGGGTGTATTGACTTAGCGGTCAATTACATTTCCAAGGGCAATCCCAACATTAAGCTAAGCAAACCTGACCTTAGAAGCCTCTTCACTACAGCTACTGCCCAGACTCATTTCATATTTAATGGTTCTTTTTATGATCAAATAGATGGCGTAGCCATGGGGTCTCCCCTGCTCCTGTCTTAGCTAACCTTTTCATGGGACATCATGAAAAACTTTGGTTGCAAAATTTTCATGGCTCTACAATTTTATTTTATCGTTGATGATACTTTTTGCTTATTTAACTCAGATTGTGATGCCACTATATTTTTCCACTATATCAACTCTAGGCACCCTAACATCAGGTTCAGTATAGAAAAGCAGGTTAATCACAAATTACCCTTTTTAGATGTCTTGACTAACAACCATGACCCCAATTCCTCTCTAACTAGTGTTTACTGCAAGAAAACTTTCACTGGGTCACTAACTAATTATTTCAGCTTCACCTCATACTCTTACAAAGTGGGTCTCATTAAGACTCTCGTTGATAGGGCCTACAAGATTAATAACACCTGGTTGGGGTTTCATGAGGACATTAACAAACTTACTGATATTCTAAAAAAGAATCTTTTCCCTGCTCATTTAATTGAGAAGATTATAAACCGTTACATCACTGGGACCCAAAGCAATTATCATCCCCTGGGGTTCCCTTCCCACCACTTCACTTATGTTTTACTTTGAGCTACCCTAGATAGGCCACTTTTCTGCTATCACTCGAAAAAAGATTCACCATTTTACTAAGTGCTATTGCAATGACTTGGATATTAAACTGATTTTTGCTTTGATAAAAATTGGCCACTTGTTTGGTGTGAAAGACCCTGTCCCTAATGGGCTCCGTTCACAAGTGGTTTATAAGTTTGTATGTGCTGGCTATAATGCCTGTTATGTTGGTGAAACCTGCTGGCATTTTTCCACAAGTGTTAGAGAACACTTAGACAGTGATATGGCCTCTCACATTTTCAAGCATCTGAAAGAATCTGCACTTTATGTTCAGCAGATAACTTCCATGTTTTAGATCATGCCTCTACCGGTTTTCAACTCAAGATAAAAGAGGCTATTCATATTCAAAGAGAACAACCATAACCATCCTTGAATCAACAATTACACCATGTAAATCTAAAACTATCCTTTTAATTCTCACACTTTCATGCTTTACCTCTTTTCTTGTTGTCACTATTTATCATAATTAGCATTGTTCTACTTATTATATAATTAACTGAAGATGACAGAAGTTTCTGTCGAAACATGTTTTACAGACTTAAAAGTTTTGTCGCTTTCTTTAAATTCTTGACTTGCCTGCTAATATCAAGACCCTTTGGAAACATTATTTTCATAGGTTGTGAACAAATAAAAAAGAACTAATTCTGCATCATGCAAAAACCCCTTTCACCCCCTCAACAAGCAAATGAGGAGCCCCTAAGGGCTTGACAAATTGGAGGGAGGGGAAAGAAATGGTAACATTTCCGCACAGCCCCATACTATTGTAAAACAAATCTGTTTTCCCAAAGGCAATGTATAGTTTTTGTCATCGTTTTGTCTATCCAAGAACTGAATGCATAACGTAGTATGGGGCTGTGCGGAAATTTTACCAAAGAAACAACTGGAATGATGAAATGGACCAAACAAAGCGGTCATATGACAACCAAATGTCAGTCAACAGCTAACCAATGTCAACAAGGAGGTCTGGGACTAATTAAGTTATTCCCTTGGAATATGAACCACGTGCATGCCTTGAGCGATGTTAAGTTATTTCGTAAGCGTTGTGACTAAAGGGTAAGATACAACGAGAAAATCTACACCAGCGTCCATCTTTATAGAACTGCGCTTAAGATACATACTGGACAGACTCTCTTCCTAAGATCGAGGTTACGTAATGAAAGGTAGAAATTTGGCAACAACGTTTCAGGGAGGGATGGCTAAATTTAGAGATAAAAAACAGCATTTGCAAAATATCAGGCAAAATCTTCTTTTTGATAAGAAAGCATGAGGAGCACTACACACCTGAAGTTATAACTGGTAAATGCACTCCCCATTCTTAACATCTGACGGTAAAGTTGTAGAACTTCTCGACTTGAAGACATATTGAAGACAGCCGCCATTGGCAAAGGATCAATGTAACGCATGCTCTTTTCGATTGTTTTGCTCGTGGGCTCATGTGCCTCGTGGTACCTCGTCGGAGTGACTCAGTCGATTCTGAGAAGTTAAGCCTGGCAGACCTTGACAGGGACAATAAGGATTAGTCAACCGTAATCATGACTCAGTTATTTTGCTTACTGCCCATGAGAATGGTGTTGTTATTTCAAAGGGCCTGAGCGATGGCTAGGAATCACGTTTTGTTGTTGGGGCTTTTTTTAAAGCTGGTTTTTCTTATTCACTCGAGGTGAGAATTTTTATTCCTATTTCCTTTCAGGTGCCAGTGTTTTTACACGTGATTTGTGATTCCATGCATGACCCCTTACTTCCGCTGAGAAAGCGAAATCTCTGAATACTCGTAGATCCATGCAACATGGCTTTGTTGTAATATTTATTTACCTCTCTCTCTGTTTGTGCTTTGATTTTGTACATTCAGTCCCATGAGGAAAGAAGCACGGCTTATAATATAAAGCGCGAAAGTGCTGGCAGAATTGTTTCGTTTTCGATTTGGATTTGAATCAGATGGAATTTGGTATACAACTTTAAGAAAATTAGATTTGTTTTGTTAAACTATAGACGTAAACTTCTCCTTGCTTGTGGATCTAAATAAATTGTCGATCTATTGCAGTGATTTCTAGCGAATACGATACATTTACGAGAAATAAAATGGTAAACAATTATCTTATTCATCGCTCCTCATTTGTTGTTTACGTCTGCAGAATATTCAAAGTATTTTATTTAGAAACCAGTCTCTGCTTGTTTAGTTATTGCACTTTTTCAGAAATGTATAGTAGTTTACACGAAAGGAGACGTGTTTCCAACAGATTTGTTACAAATTTATCATAAATTTCAGTTTTAAATAGAGTTCGGAAAAATTTGTTCTGCTCTACCTCCCAACTCAAATACGTGTCCTGAAAGGAAGAAAATGTGTCACATATCATGGGTCAAAACTATATAACTCCTAAGGAGGAACAAAATCATTAACTTCCTATGGAAACAAAGACTTGAACTTTTGCCTTGCATGTGATCAGGTCATGCACCTTAAAACTACGGCAAATTTGTGTACCAGCCTGCCTCAAGAAAATATTTTTGAAGTCAAAGCAGCTAAATACATTCAAAAACGAAGTGAAAAATACATTTGGAAAATTTTAATTGGTGTTGTATAATATGAAAAAGGTGTTTTCCTGAATATTACAATTTCTGTTACTTCAAATCCATTATCTGCTATTCCTTGACTATGACCAGAGATCAGTATTGGACTATGCTCTAATGTTTATGCTTTGACTACTGAAGGCTCCACTTCAATGGAAGAAAGTGATCTTCCTGTTGCATTAAAATGAGGAGGGCTCTAATCTCACAGTGTTTGCATTTAAAATTCTTGAATTTTTAGCATTTTTGATATATAGATTTTTTAATTTACATTTGGGATTTCTAACATTTTACAATGAAGTTGCTAAGTGACACGTACCCTTGTATAATTTGTTCTATTTTGAGTGGAGGGATAACAATACTTCTACCTCCATAGGGAAAAAGTAAGTTTTGTTTCCCTGGAAACCTTCAGTATTCTACAGGGCAAAGCCTAGAGGAACAGTCAGGGTGTCTGGGAAACAAAACTTGCCATTTCCCTTTGGGCTAGTTGTTCAATGTCTACTGTCAGATTTTTTTGGTGTAAAGGGAAATAAAAGACAATTGTTGAGGTAATGGGGTTTTCCCATTGTCATACTGACCTTGAGTGTGGAATCAGTGTTATCTTTTGTCACAAACTTAATGATCTAGATTAATTTCACTGGCCAGTAAAGCAAGCACAAAGAACTGAATAGATTTTGTTTCAAATACCTATTTTTAATTAATTGCTCATTGGAATTTATTTCTTTACAGTGAACAGTTTGAAGATCCTTTACAGCAGCATATTTTAAGTAATGAGGATGGTAACCATGAATTGAGTGCATTGGTAAGGAATGATCAATTTCAGTATCTGAGCAAATGCGCTTATATACACCCCTTGCTTAATCCAACAGTGGTCAACTGATAATAAGATAGGTTAATTTTGTGTTAAGAGAGGAGTAGGTGTGCAGTTATCCAGATACTAACATTTATCCAAGACTCTTTTTTACATTATATTTCCATTTTTTTGATATTTTTGTTATTTTATATTGTTGTTGTTGTTTTTTTTTAAACAGGAATTTCAAAAAATCTTATTTGAATATGATAAGGATGGAGATGGAGAACTGTCAGGACAGGAAATGTCAAAATACATTGAGGATACTTTGGTGGGTATTTTTGGAACAAACTACTGTCTAAATTTATAGGGCAATGAATATTCATGTTTTTGCGACAGCAATAAGTAGGCATCTATTTTGTATTGCTTTTGACCTTTGATATATTCATTAAATGTGAATGGTAGTTTAGTTTATACCTGATTGGTAATAGTAGGAATATATATATGTTATTTGCCGGCTGGGAGGTCCATATGGTGAAAAACTGTGACCGAGGTCTTGAAAATACTGCCCGAGGCCGTAGGCCAAGGGCAGCATTTTCAAGACCGAGGTCACAGTTTTTCACCATACGGACTGACCCTTAGCCGGTAAATAACATATTTATTGTTTTTAAACTTGACGAAATTCTTTCCGAAAGAACCCGAACGATTTATGGCCGTAAATACGGCAAGATCTTCCATAAACTGAACAATTTTTGAGTGGGTAAATGGTAGTTAAAATAGAGGTGATGCAAATTTAAGAGAGATGCCTCAGCGAAACATTTTCATTTCCATAACGATAAAGGTGATTTAAAAGGCTTCCAAACAAACTTTGAAACATTATTTTTACAAGTATCTGTCACAATCTGACACCTGTCAATTAGAGAGCGCGCAAGAAAAAGAAAAGCGAAGGAACATTTGAAAACCAACAGAACTAGTTTGGCAAGGACTGTCACGACAATGTTTTCTTCAAAATCAGTTACTGATCTAACGGAAAATATTATTCACTCTCATCGACGATTCATTCATGTACGAAGATTTACCTCTGTTCATTAAGTAAACGGCGAGGAAATTAATTGTGAGTAAATTCAATCTTTTTATTTTGAAGTTGTGAGAGTTTGCTCGTTTGTTTGCTGTAATGGCGTGTTTAACTCTGATCTTTCCTTCACAAAAACTAAATTCGAACGGCACACTCCAACGAGACACATGGGAATGTAATGCGGCCTTTTCTCAAAAAATTCCTTCAATTTCTGTTGTGCAATTTAAGGAATTGGAAAGACTCACCAGGAGCGTATATTTGTTGTAGAACTTAAATTAAAACTTCGCTCGCTCTTTCACTATGAACAAATTGCTCGAGAAAATTCAGATATTAAATGAATGAAAGTTCCATCGTTCAGTTTAACTGTAACCAAATACCTCACGTTCCAACTTTCTGGGTACTTTTTGTGAACGATTAAAATTAATTGCAGAAGGTTTTTAGGCCGCTTGTCAACCAACGTAATGACACTATTGTTTATACAAATTCATTCTGAAACCAATATTTTTCTGTCAACCAAAGTGATTTGATAGAGAGAAAAGAGAGGATTCATAAGTTATTTATCGGCTTGAGGTAGTGACCGATGTGTTTGCTTAAAAATACTGCCCAGCCGGAAAACGAGGTATATTTATGAAAAATGACAACGAAAGTTGGGATGTACTCGGCGATGAGGAAAATACTGACCAGGTAAAGAACCAATCAGATTGCAAGATTTGTTACTGTGCCCTCTAAAAAAACAATAATTATAGATATGCCATTTTGTAACCTTGGTTTATTAGATTTTATTTGGAAAATATTGTATACTATATAAGCATTAAATTATCATATAAGCATTTAATTATTATTAATATCTGTTTTCATTTAAGCCTTTGATACTCAGGAGTGACTAATGGATAATTTCTCCATGAATATATTTATAAACTCTATATATTTATACTCCATGTACATTTTCAAGCAGAAGAGTGATGAGAAGTACCAAAAATGTCAACTATAGGATTTTGTTAGATTTAGTCCTAAATTCTCATTGCCAACTTTAAAAGAAATATATGGTAGACAGTGTGAAGAATTGGTATTTAGATCTTGGGAGTGAAAGAGTTAACACCAAATTGCACTCATAATCATGTTGTTTCCTATACTTACATAACAAAAGGTGTAAAGCCCCATAGGAATCAAAGTTGATCAAAACATTTTATCACTTTCTTTAATTGTAATCATCAGGCAACCTTAAAACCAGAAACTGGTGGAAGAGATTCCAAAGAAAAGCTACAGAGAGGTTCAGTTGGTAATAGGGGTTCAAAGCAGAAATCTTCAAAAACAGCACAGACATGGAGTGTGAAACAGATTGTTGGGGGTCTGGTAGTAGTCTTTTTTGTGACTGCAGTCTGTGTTGCATTACTACAAAGGAGGGACCAAACACCTAGCCAGACAGGTGTGAATTATGGACAAAATTATTGTTTTCCATATTTATCTACACATTAAATTTTGTCTTAAGGATGTCAGTTTTCTCCTAAGACTCTGTATCAATTAAAAATGATTTTTACCTGGAGTAACAGTACACTATGTGGTGAAAAAATGTTTCTGTTATAGATAGATTGTTTAATGTTCTTAAATGTTACTGAACCAATAATACATATGTATTTTTTGCTATTTGATGAGCAAAGGAAAAGATTGCTAGTGCCAAACTGGGCTATTGTGCAAAGTCTTGTAATTAGTTATGATAATATCATAAAATATTATGTATTATAAGTTCTTTTTGGGTTATATTATAATTCAACTAGCATCTTAACTTTTTACTTTTTAAGGTTGCAACTTATATAAGTTACAATTATGTTTGAAAATTCTTGTCAGTAAGGACTTGAAGTTTTTCTTTCTCAATTTGTTAGCAGTTGAGGTTGCTGATGTTCGAGCTGCGCGTTTGCGGAAGCTAGCTGGTGAACAATCTGACACCAAAACAGAAAACTCACCTCCAGCTTGTGTGAAAGAAACTTCTGCTTTAAACAGACAACCTTCAATAGATTCAAACAAGAAGGGCCTTCGAAAAAGAATTGAAAATAGTGAGATAACTGCTACAAACACTGGAGAGGGGAGAGTTCCTGGAACTAACAAACCGAGAGATGGGTTAAGACTTCTAAGCTCAAATGCTGTGAGTTCAGAGCCCTCCTCACTTAATACAGGGAGGTCACTTTCCTCCATTGAAGTGGAGCCTTCAGTAGTCAGAGCATTAACGTCAGAGCATAGTCCAGTATCCATCACTGGTTGTAGTCAAGAAGGTACAGCTGATAGATTTCAAGTAAAAGACATAACAGAAGTCAAGAAAGAAATTTCAACGTCATTGTCGAAGAGGCCGACAGGTACATATCATCAGCTACATATGTTACAAATTTCCAGTAGGAGTTAGTAGAGTTTTGACTTCTTATGACAGCTGGTTGAAAATATGACTGTGATAATTATTTACAGTTTTTTTTCACAATGCCATGTTATTCATTAAAAATGCTGTTATTACCTCTAAATTATTTTGTGAATAATCTTAAACATTTAATAAAATGGATATTATTTAAGACTGATACTATATTTGATAAAAGATTTAAATGTGCTCATCTTAACATTATAAAAATTGTTTGTTTTAGCACCCAAGCAAGAAAAGATACAGGTTAGACCAATTCTATTTGAACAGACATCGTATTGATAGCTTGTATTATGATGCTGAATTCCATGATTTGCATCATTCTGTAATAGCTTAAGGGGTGAGCCAATCATTGAACCAGGCATTTTTTGTGTAACAAATTACTTGGCCAGTTATATGTCAAAGAAACATGTCAAGCACCCTCGAGAATCCATTTAGTACCCCTAAAGGACCCCTTAGGTACATGTTAATCAAAGTCATGAGCCCCTCAACTACACTCTGATAATATTATACAATGTACAAAGGGGTAATTTATGCAATAGTAACAAAATAGAATTTTGAAAAATTTCCAGTGTCTGCAGACTGTTCCTGGAAAATTTTACTATTAAGGAAATTTCTGTCACATTTTTGTGAAATGGGAATTTGCTGTACCCAAACTTTCAAGGAATAATGTGCCATGGACATGGAAAGGACACAAACTTTTGAAGAAATATTCTCCCTTTAGGGTGAAAGAGATCATGAGAGTGGGCATAAGTTTATCCAGGTGGCTGTAGTGAGATATCTTATGTACAAGAGAATAATATTTGAATAAAGTATGGGTGAATATTAGAATTGGGATTTTGACAGCATGATGAAGAATGAGGGAAAACAAAATTTGAGAGCTGGCACATGTACTTGTAATTGTATCTGTTCATACTATCATTTTGCTGTTGCTAGGACCTGCCATATCAAGATGTTGCAAAGAAAGTGTTGATGCAAGTTCTGGAGTGTTCTTTTGTAAGTGGATTAGCCAGCATGCAGAAGAGTGTTATTAACCCTTTAACTCCCAGAAGTGATTAACATGTAACCTCTCCCTAGTATATCCATACACTATCCAACACACTGGTGATGAGAATATTCAAACTTGTCTGTTAGAAGTTTTTATCTTTATCTAACACCAAATTCTTATTACTAATAAGTGGAAAATGTGTAGCAGCGGGAGTGGAGAATTAACAATCAGATCTTGGGAGTTAAAGGATTTAAAAAAAGAATTTTGGAATTGATTTTTATGTATTATAGTGTATTTTTGTAAAATTAAGATAAATTTTGTTTAGAGGGACTCGTGACTAAGATCATAGATGTACATACTTATTGCCTGTGGAAAAGAATATTATTAGTCATGGGTATTTGGGACTCTGTCTGTTTGATGTCAAAAGAAAAGAGAGAAATAAAATGTTAAACCCTGAAGAAGTGGTATTTTCTTCCTTTAGCAGAAAGATTCAGTTGTCTATATGACACTAAAATGTATGATAGTGTGTAAAATGAATGTGACTTCCTTTTTGTCACTTTATTTTAACAACAGGTTCTGAACCCAATTTAGTTACATTTCTCTGGGTAGTTAAATGTCTCCTTTATTTATCTTTACAGGAAAATCAAAGTTCCAAAAAGGATCCACATATTCCACAAGTCAAGGTATAGAGAGATTGCAGTGTTTTTTATTGCCAGTTGAAAATGATGTAATTATAGCCTATTGGTGTTGGTGGAATTGGTGATTGTTGGAATGATTTGGTAATACATAACCCCACTTATAACCACATGCAGACTGCAACTCAAAAGCTAACCAGCATTAAATGGGGTAAGTTACAAAGAAACTGTGGTGCTGTGTTGGTGGGAGAGTATAACAGGGTTATTTAGTATTATTAACTAAGTTGATAGTGTAAATTGGCCACTGTAAAGAGTTTCAAAGCTGATGCGTTAATTGTTAGCCCTTTGTCAGAGCAAACATTTGCAAAACATTCTTTTATGGTCATAACTAGAGATTGAAAATCATAAGACTGGTTGCCTTTCCATTCTAAACATATTTTTCATTCTTCAGACTGACACAGACAGAGGTTTGGCAGTTTTGCAAGTTGAAGCATCTGAACTGCCTGTCAGCTGTGATGACTCAGGCAAGGTAAACAACAATGAAATGCTAGAAATCTGGTAGAATTAACTTGTAATTCTCAATAAAAGTTACTGGACCAGCTAACTGTGGTTTTTGAAATTGTGTGAAAATATTATTTTACTGGTTTTACGCTTTAACTCCCATGAGTGACCAAGACAGAATTTCTCCTTACAATGTCAATACAATATCAAGCAGACAAGTGATGAGAATTAAGAAAAATATCAGTCAGGGATTTTAAGTTGATCCAATACTAAATTCTGCAAACTAACATCACAAGAACTGTATGGTTGACAGTAAGGAGAATTACTAATAAGATCTGGGAGGTTAAAGGGTTAAAAGAAGTGGTACTTGTCTTCTTACCTGTATGTGTATTATTTTTTGTTTTTATAGAAAATAGAAAAACTTCTCGCTAAAAGGATTTATCGGGAAATGGTAAGTTTGTGTTTCTACGTGTAAATACCAATGTACTTTACATTTGTAGAGATCTACATTTATTTTTCAATGTAAACAAGATTAGGTAAACCTGTGATTTACAACAGAAATCTTGTTATTTATGTACCAGTTTCTTGCCTTTCTTGTTGTTAAGTGTTAAGAAATGAATTGAAATGAAAAGACAGAAATGGGAGATGAAGACATTATGATGACACCTTGAGAAATTAGTGGGGGGGGGGTATCAGTAGAGGATAAATGAACACTTGTTTCAAAATGTGTTTATTTGATTTTCTTTGTAGGACCCAATGAAGTTTGCCATTCAGTGCTTTGATCGCTGCTCTCAGCTGCCTGCAAAGAACTTCAAATTGATTCAAGATGGAGAAAAGATTTGGAAGGAAGTGGCTTCAGCTGTTATGGAGCCCTGTGTAAATACTGTTTTGAAGCATCTTGTCCATGGTGAGTTGTAACATACACTCAAACTTTTTGCCCCTCAGTTCACTGTATCCAAGATGATGGATTTGATGTTGGTAAAATCTGAGCCATGGTTTCACTGCTTATGGGTGACTTACCATCTTATATATGTCTCATGTTAGTTACAAACGATTCTTTTAAATTGCAGCTGCTGCAAGTCCTACAGCGGTTGAAGATGACTTGTGGGCAGATTTTGTCCAATCAGGCCAATCAGAGGTACATTCTATAAATATGTACTGTACTTAATATTGTAAAAGATAATTATGTTTCTTCTTGGATGAATTGGTTTGGATGTTTACACCCATCTTCCTCAGAGCCATGATATTTTCACCTAATGGAGGCTTGTGGGGTACAAGAGCAATGTGATGGTGTAAAATTTAGTTTTCTTTTACCAGGGTCCATCCCAGTATTTCCTGTCGAGTCTTGGAGGCTGGTCAAGCGATGGAGTGACAGTTTCTGTAGAACTTCTCAACAGACTGCTGGAAAAAGGCAAAGAGGACCCAGAAGTGAAAGAGACATTTGTTGAAATGGTATTATAGACAAATAGTGTTTTAGGCAAAGTATAATGCAATTTCAGGAGGGGATTTCCTTGTCAATTTGATAAATTTAGCTCACGTTATATACCCTAGCTCTATCTGAAAAACCTGCAAACTAGGAAAGCACATGTAGGTGGACAGGGCAGCAGACTTACCCTCCCTTTAATGTGATGTACAAAAGTATACTTAAAATTTCCATGGTAAGTACCTTCCTAATTCTGTAGAAATTCCACCTCCTGCTTTTGGTTTGCATTCTCAAGGTTTGGTGGTCTTGAAATTTTATGCCTTATGTCATGCTCCAGGCCTGAATAGTCTTGGAATTTGAGTTTTGGCCATGAAAGGTCATGGAACATGACTACTGGTTAATTTTTCTGAGAAGAAAAGAGTAAGAAATACAGGCTATTTTGAAACATAAATTCTTAAACGAAGGTCATAGAAAACTTAAAAAGGGTCTTTGGAAAGGTCTTGGAAAGTAATGGAACTTTATAACTTGGAAATGATACAAATTCTGATTCATGCTTGTAATGAGTTTTAGGTTCCCCTCTCTCTGGCTTCTCATTCAGCTTTAATTTCGTCTGTAACTGTGGTTCTCCCATGAATGACCGAGAGAGAATTTCTCCTTACAATATCAATACAATATGAAGCAGAGAGGTGATGAGAACAAAGACAAATTTCAATTAAAGGATTATTAGTTGATCCAATATCAAATTCTCCGAACTAACATCATAAGAATTGTATGGCAGACAGTAAGGAGAATTACTAACAAGATCTTGGAGTGAGACGGTTACATGTCTATCGTCATTACATTTCAGTCAATATACATTTCGCTGTGTATCAGTTAAAATATTGATGTTCGTACGTTTTATCCGTAGATAACAGTCGGAGGGAAGCAAGTCGAAAGAGTGAAAAGGTATGTTGGACAATTATTGCTTTGATTGGCATAAAAAACCCGAAAATTTAGGTACAAGAAAAAGCCAGACATGTTACAGGGACGTTTCAGTAAATACTGTCAGCATCTGAATTATGAAAAATCTTATCAAACTTCTTTTTATTTCACCATATAGGATAAATGAGATCACACTGGAGTGCAAATGTATTTTCAGAGGATTGGAAACCCTCCTTTCTTTGGTAAGGCATAAATATTCAAACACGCACCTAGTTGGAGCAGTTACCAAGTGAGCGTTGAGAGTAATCCCTGATTGCTGTTGTTTTGCTTAGGTAATTTAGTGTTAACAACTGGGTTGAAAACGTAAATTAGCCACCGTAAAGTTTTTTTACTCTTTACGGTGGCTAATTTACGTTTTCAACCCAGTTGTTAACACTAAATTACCTGCTATACTCTCCCACCGACGCAGCACCACAGTTTCTTTAGAAACTTACCCCTTTATTCAGTTGTTTTGCTTAACTTCGCTCTGTCATAGGTCCAGGAAATTCGTGCCATCTTCTCAACCAATCAGATCCAAAACTAAAACCAATCCAGATTTGGAGGCCTCACGTTTTCACGCTTTTCATGTAATATATCAGTTTTTGCTTTGACTTCTAGTTGGCTGATGATGATGCCAACCTTCACTCTGATCGGCTAATGATGATGTCAACCTTCACTCCGATTGGCTGTAGTGATCACTTTGGTTTTTGGAAACTGACTGTTCTAGAACGTTGACTAATTCGATTTCTTTTGCATTCTGTTGTTTTGGCTTTTAGCCTGTTATGGGTGACTTCCTGGCTGAAGCTCTTGAGAGAGAGCTGGACACTGGAATAAACGAGCTGGTAACAATTTTGTTGATTAAAAAAACACGAAAGTTGTTTACACTCCCTTGTTTGTGTACTTGATATTAAATATTCAATGAATGTCTGTTTTGCCCAGGGTGTCTTCTTCCAACACAAATCGCTGTTCTCGTCCTTCTTGGCAACCTCTACAATGGATATTAAAATAGACAAGAAGTCGCGTTCCTCCATTTGTTTTGTCGAGCTGCCTCACTTCCCGCAGGCCTTCCGTAGCGACGTTGATCAACTTCAAGTACGTAACGTGAAGTTTTCTTAAGCTGTGATATGGACCGCCATGTGAAATTATCTCTATTTATTAAATGTAGCCTCAAAGTTAACACAATTTTCTTTTGAAATTTTCTTGAAGTGCACTTTATTTTATTTGCTTTATTTCCATCAAATTCTTTATACAACATCTCACTGGCAGGAGAGAGTTTGACTCACGTAAAATTTTTTCGGCTCAGATAACACCATGTGATGGTTTGCAACCCCATTAGAGATGATTTCATTTTTATGCATTTCATATTGTGGGTGAGAAAAAAGATGAATGAGGGCAGACTGCAATGTTCTTACATCAGGGAATCAGCTATTTCTTTTTCCCCTTTGTGAAATCGTTCATTACATAACAATAGCTTACCTTTCACTTGTAGTCTCAAATCATGGATGGCATTCATTCTTGCCAGAATGTTGTTTACAAGGCTCTTGTGAAGCTGCTGAAAACTGATAATCGAGACAGGTATTTTCATTTACCTTTTGACCCCTAGAGTGAGTAGCATCTAATTTCTCCTGACATAGTTTCCCCTGCATCACACATTAAATTCATACGAATAAAGAAATGATCACCAAATAACGAAGATCTTAATGGTTGAAAAAATGATCTGTGTCAGTACCTTAGGAAGTGAATGGAGAGCAGTATGGAAAATATACATACTGGTGCTCTGTTATGGCGCTTTCCACTTGCAATTTTTGGCCTTACAGAAAATAATTGGCGTAAGTGGAAATCTAAGTCTTACTCCTCGTGCGTAACCGGGTGCGATTTGTATTCTATAGCATGTTGTCAACGCCTTAAGTGTTGGGGCGTTGTTTGCACTATCGTCTGCATTATACGGATGACACAGTCGCCAAACGGTCAGTGCACTGGACTTCGGGTCAAGAGGTCTGCGTTCGAGACCTGGCCGGGTCAATGTTTTGTGTTCTTGGGCACGACACTTTCCTCTCACAGTGCCTCTCTCTCCAGCCGGGAGTATAAATGGCTTCTGGAGAAATTTTAGGGAAGCCCGATGAAATGCTTGGGGGTAACCTTGCGATGGACTGGCATCCCATACAGGAGGGAGTAGTAATACTCTTAGTCTCTACATGGAAACCGAGATAAGCACCGCGGGCTGGGTGGGCCAATAGGCTCCAGTATGGACTTTGTTTTTCCGTGCAATATATGCAACTTAAAACTCAGTCCCGCGCATTTTGATGGTTGTTGGTATGTAAGAACTCAATGTCTCGTCTCCCAGGACAGGCCATGAGAACAGAAAAAAGCGCAAAGTGTAACTTACAACTGTAAAAATCATCATGTTTCAGTGTGTTTTGGAACGGTTAGGATAGGATTTGCCATCTTTAGATTTAAATGACTTCGGCACCCCTATCCATTCTCGTGAGTATCAGAGGAAAAGTAAATTAAACTTTAATGATATATGTATTTGTCTTTCAGCGCAATAGCATGGCTGGCCGGGGTTGTCTCACTCAATGATCTGAGACTGTCAGCAAACTTGCCTAGAGATAACTTGATGAAGGCAACAGTGGCCAACGATGGTAAGATAGAGTGAAAACAAATTTGTATTAGCCGAAATGCTATCAACGACGCTTGTTATCAAATAATTTCTCATAAACTCTCGACAATTCCCATCATAAAGTATTTCTCCATTCGCGGTAGAAAATTTTGTCCTAACGAGTTTTTAATCCACGAGTCTCCATGGTGACAAAAGGATTTGTGAGGGAAAGAATTCTCGATTATTTTAATAGTTTTACAAGAGCCTTTACGGTAACGAAACATCTGTAATAAGTTATGGTAACTTTCAGAACTCGTGTTTCTCTTGGTGGTAGGTTTTATGGTGAATCTTTGCTCAGTGGCTCTTCAGATGTGTGATTCGTTCCTCCTGACCAAAGGGAAAGATAAATACAAACAAATTGAAGCACTTTACTGCACCTCCAAAGCTTGCCGTTTAAGATTCACGAACGAGCGAACGCTGGCCGGTGGACACATTGGTAAGTAACAGTTTCGGCAGACCGTTAGTTCGGGAGACTTGCGCCTCAGATTGATATCGTTAGAGTAAATGTTTGACACTTTTTTGGAAATTACTTCGAGTTGCGAATCTGAATTAGGGACAGTTTTTTCTTTCCTCGCGCTAATCTTTGTAGTGTCGACGACCTTTTGACTGATTGTCATGCAACAAAAACCAGAGCAAGAACGTCGACCAGTCATGACAGACAAAGGGGTGAACGTCACAAGGCGCCAATGAGAACTCATAGAAAGTAAACCTTAGGCTTGGCAAAACGCGATCAGCCCAGTCGCCAATGGTTAACATGATGCATCTGAAAGGCCGAGAGAGTTGCGGGGGGTTTCGCATGCTTTCTCGACCAACCGTCAATTTCTAAACCAATCTTGATACAGAGATGGTAGGAACAATCAAGGAAAGTTTCAAAAAAATCGTCGGAATCGCTCATTGTTCAGCAGGTTCTAATCTAAATCTAATCTTTTGTTCGACTTACTAATTTCATCAACTGTCATCTTGTAATGTGCTCATGTAACTGTCTTTAAGTATTTTCTAATTAATACAGGTTGCATATGTTGTTGTTTTTTTTCCATGCAGGAACAGAGAATGAGGACAGAACGGATCTCCGTAGTGTGCTTTTGCCCTCAGGAGACCTTAAGGGTACTTATTTTCCTTCTCTTTATGTGCATGCATATTTTATCGTTGCTAAATGATCAGTGATTTTATTTTTTCGTTTCTTTTTTTTTTTTTTTAGTTTCGTTTATTAATCTGCTCCAAACAATGTCGCATTTCCTAAAATGGCGAGTCTTAGTAAAACTGTTCCACCACGCGTTCTATTTTCTCTTTGTCTGTCTTTATAACCTTGTCTCCCATCCCACTGTAAAAAATGATCAATCAGTTTTCGCGAGCCAGTTTTCCCTCAAGTGATTGACGAACAGCTCTTCACGTGACTCCGATGCAGGCTCTCGCTTAAGTTCTCAAGACGACAGTCACTGTTATGGGCAACAGTCCTTCATAGGACTTAGCCTACGTATAGCCTCGCTTCCGTTTCACCTTTTTTTTTGGGGGGGGGGGGAAATTGTACGGCTACAAGTAGGCTACGTTGGACTATGTTCGTCGAATTGTCTGTTCGTCGATCTTTTGTTCCCGAGGTCAAACCAGTTACTGTATTACTGTTCCTCTTGTTTGACACTCGACGTTGCATGTGATGTTATCTTTGTAGGTCAGTTCAAACTGATAACAGAGATGTTTCACATCACGCACCGCGCGCTTCATATCGGACTCACCACTACCATTCAACACTACAACAGAATCATGAGGTTAGACATACTCAGTACTCATTCGTATATTAAAAAAAAAAGTCAGTCTTTTGCAATCCTGTTTTTGAAAAGCAGCTGAACCCTTTGTGAAGTTGCTAAGGCGATAGCTCCTTTCTCGATGATGAACAAGCAGATGGGCTTCCTTTGGGTTAACCCTGTAACTTCTAGAAGTGATCAACATGAGACTTCTCCCAATCATATCCTTATTATCCAGCAAACAGGAAATGAGAATATTTAAACTTATCAAGTAGTAGTTGTTATCTTGATCTTACACCAACTTCTCATAACTAATTTACAAGGCAATGTTTAGCAGCTAGAGGGGAGAATTAACAATCAGATCTCGGGAGTTAGAGAGTTAAAATCTCAATTTGCTCAAATTTTAGTGTAGCTACGTTACACAAATATCTCCATGATGAAAACGTACGCTAGCGTTTGAAAAGAGCCCAAGGAAAAAGAAACAGAAACAAAAAGTAAAGATCAACAACAACCAAAAAAAATACGATAATTGAAACTTGGCAAAAGAGATCGGTTATTTTTCCCATTATTGTGTTTGGCTCTCTCGATGGCCAGTTACGCCAAGTTTTAGCGCCTAAGTTCGCGAGTACCGACTTTTCTCCCTCAGTGCATCACAGACTACCCATTCAGACATTCTCTTAATCTCGGTAATGAATTCCTCCGTTCCAAAATCGGTACGTTTCTTTATTCCTAAAATTCCAGACAGTACACGATGTTATCTGAAATGAAGGAGGGCAGCTCTTTTGAAGCGGAAACGAAAAAAATGCTTGTGGTGAGTGTATATCATGTAAACAAATATATCTGACCAGTTCAGGCAAAGATCTTTCAAGAGCAAACAACAATTTCCTGATCTCCTTGTTGAATTGGGGTTTAAAATGGTCTTGCGCTAGCGCAGGACCCCAAGTAGTTCTTTTATTCCTGACCTTCTATTAGAAGAAAGCTTTCGCCATGATACGAGAGAATTCAGACTTAATCAATCAAAATGCTCTTCGATGTAAGCTGCTTTCACGTTTAAGCGATTTTTCATGTCAATCCACTTGTTATGTCCTGTTTACAGTTATTCGTACTTCAATGGAATACTTGTCTGGAGGACGACCACTTCATGAGGCTGTGTTCAGAGTTTTATATCACAAGCGCCGCCTGGCTTCTTCATCTTCTTGACAGCTGTGCTTCTGAGTATCAGGTAAAAAGTTCATACGGTATTTAGAAGAGGGATGAGGGGTTTTACATGTAGGAGACGGTGTGTTCTCAGGAAGGAAAGAGAAACAAAAAGGAAACGTGTCGAATTTATATAACAAGACCACCAGCACTCCATAGCCCATTTTTAGAGTTTCAAGACCATAACTGGCCTCCATTGCATTGAACTGGGCTAGCCTGCATAAATATCGCTTATAAATAAATACATAAATGAATAAATAAATAAATAACTTTGACCAGACCATATGGTCCGGAAAACAGAATTTGACTTCATCCAACAATTGTTTACTCGTATTTTCAAGATAAGTGGTTTGTATTAATGTAGTATTAAATTAATATTTGGTGTTTTATTGTGGAATTGGAGGAGAGAGAACTTGGTAAAGGCGTTGTATTACCAACTAATCTTATTGATTTTGTTGCTTTAGGGTTTGTCTGAAAACGAAATCAGAGTCAGGCAGCGAGAGATACTTGTGAATATTCCCGAGTTCTACGTCAAAGACATGTGCTCCTGGTTTAGTTTCGTCGCCGCACATAAACCTGGCGCTCTTAGGGGGTTGGACGTGAGTATTTAATTGGTTTTAATTCACCATACTTTGATTCAGTAGTCAACTAGCAGGGAACACATTTAAGCCTTCAATTTTTAGACGCGCTTACTGGAGAAGAGCTGTCCATCCGAGACTGCGCGAGAAGAATTGCCATGCGATAGCGAAGAGATTACCGTGTGTGAGAGAGGAAATAGGCTCATTTTAGAGAAGGGATGAGCAAGCTCGATCAAAGTGGAAAGCGCGAATTCGCGTGCAAGAACGTACTGGAAGGTACTTGGACGCTTGACTGAGTAGAGGCGTGCACTTCGAAAAGAGACACGATTGCGTACTGAAGAGGAGATACGCGTGCGTTACGAAAAGAGAGACGAGTGCATACTTAAGGGGAGATACGCGGGCAAGAGAACGTGTGTAAGAGGTGCTAGAGACGATGCCCGTTAAGAGAACAAATGTGCTTTTTCATTAAAGAAGAGTTACGTTCGTGCAAGAACACGTGTGAAAGGAGTGACGACAATACATGATCGCAGTTTAATATTTTGTTTATAATATCATGCGATTCAAAGTGAGTGCATATTGCTCGCCATACCACTCATGTCACAATATTTCTTCTTGACAATTTTTCTGAGAGCCTGCCTCAAGGACTACGTTTTGCAACTTTTACTTTGTCTTATTTATGATTAAATTGTTTGTGTTTTAGATCTGCATTTTCGTTGACTGCTGTTGTGCTCTTATGGAACGGAGAGACATCATGCCCGGACCAGTGGCAGCCACGAGAACTGTGACAGCTTTGTTGTCATTTGCTGAAATATGCCAGAGATCTAAAGGGTATTTTGTAGTTATGTTCAATTATTGTGCAGAGGAGAATGTTTTTAAGAAACAAGAGCAATTTAACACAACAAATGACGGAGAGAGTATTAAACAAACAGGTTCACATACAAGAAAGGAAGAAAGAAACAAGCAAAAAAAAAAAGGGAAAACAAAAAACAGAGATAGAAGCGATTGCAAAGTTCAGACATTCAACCAGGGCTCAATATGAACTCTAAGTATGACTGCATTTGTTGTTAAAAATGTCTGAAAGGTAAATTGAGGGGGCAATTTTTCTTTTTTCGTTTTCGTGTTACTTAATTTGAATCTCTTTGAGATTAGTGTTTGCGAAGAATTAATTAGCAGGATAAAAGAAAGGGAAAGCAAAGTTATATAATTCTATCTCTACTATAAATCGGGATTTTCAATTTTTTCTTTTAATCATTAATGACAAGACTTTGTGTCGTAATTTATAGAATAAATAAAGTTCTCATCATGAATCTCCCGACTCCCAATTATTTTGATTTGATTCTAATTCTGGTTTGTCTTTAAGTTTAACTGGTATGTTGAGGAAGATTTTCTGTTTGACAAAGGTGAAAATGCCTGTTGAAAGCTACAATCGTCATTTTTCTTTACCAATTGAGTAATCAAGAAAATTTTCTGTGCCTTTCAGGAAGAACAAACTGTTGGAGACAACTACGTGGGGAAGGTAAGGAAGGGTTTAGGAATGATTTATCAGGTTTTGTCGGTGATCTCTGATGACCTTACTCGCCTATATATTTTCTGATTTGCAGCGGTATCGAAGGTGACATGGTGGCCTGCGTTGCTATGTGCCCAGCGGTGAGAGAAAAACTCGGTCCAGCTCTTATTCATACTTACTCTTCGGTTGACATCGTGGAGGGCCTGGACGTGGACAAAGAAGAGTTTGACAAATTTTCTGCCAGGTATAATCAGCTTTTTTGCTGTCCTGAGATTTTAAACGCAACAGCACATCCAATATTGTAGCTGCATTTACGAGAATGCTGAGGAAGCGATCTTGTCCCGTTAGAAGAGGACGCAACATACTCAACCTATGCAGGATGTTTAAGGATTTTAGACATTTTTAGTTGTCGCGGACCTGGAAATTATTTTCGTTTTGAATGGAAGTATCATTAAACCTTTTACTCTCAGATCTCACCAGCAATTCTCCTTACTGTCTGTTTTAGGTTTGAAATTGTCAAGTTATTAGAAAAGCTATGGAAGAGACCCGACTGTTTACCTTCGATTTTACAAGAATGTGGAACGGAAAGTTTTCAGGTAAGACAATCATCGGCCATGAGCGTCCTTCGTCAGGTAAAAGTTTGTTCTTTTTTCTATACTATGGTAAACCAGACAAGGCTAGATCATATTGTTATTGTATATTTCTGTCAATACGCAAATTGTAGTCAAGTTTCATGACTATTTTTTGTTTCATCAGTCATTCTTAGGTGCTGTGTTTGACACTCTTCTTTACGTTTTGAAAGATGGCTTGCTCCGCCTAACAAATGTTAGGAAACTTCAGTGTGCCAAGCAGTGTGGTAGGTAGCTTTTCAAGAGAGGTTAACGAACGGCAGACCGATCAAATTATCCCTCGGTGAGCTAACAAACGGAAAACAAACTGCGACAGACTCACACACACACACACGCAGTCAGACACACAGACTGATAGACTTAAAGCCCACTGGGATAGAAAGACGGACAGACAGATGGACAGACCGACTAAAGCCGACAGGGGCAAACAGATAGACTGACTGACTGACTGGTAGACAGAAAATGCTGAAGTGTAGAATAAGCCACAAACCCATGTCAGCATTTTTGTCACTATTGATTGACAGCAAACGTCACTAATATTCTAATCGATGATTAAGCGTGGTCGACGTAAGCCAATGCCCCAGTCATCTTTTAACTGATTTTAATTTTAGACGATCACCAATGCGGCATTGTTAATCAATACACCTTCAACTTATCTAAAAATGAAATAAAAATAATAATAAAAAAAAAAACCAAATCGTTTATCTTTCTCTTTCTCTCTAGCTTTTTTTCTTAGAGTAGCATCCTTCCTTAAAAATGCAATGCGGAAATCTAAGTCGATATCCAACCTTAAAAAAAGTTTTGTTTTTTGCACAGATGAAAAGTGGAAGGAGTTAAGTGTAGATCAGCGACAGGAGAAGGAACATTTTTTGAAAAGCGAAGAGCACGTTTCGAAATCCTGTATGCAAATGGTATGCTGTTGTGTGAATTTAAATGTTGAATTCGTCGGAGTTATAATAAATAACATCAAAGCTGCATCTTTCAGGCGAATGCAACCTTAGCTTTTCTGGAGAAGATCACAGAAGAAGAGAAAGTGGCTCGCTGCTTCTCCCGTTCTCCATTATCACTCAGGGCTGCAGCAGCGGTATGTGTTCCCAGCTTATCACCTCGTGTTTTTCACTTTATCTTGTTCCCACCAATAGCGTAGCTTCATTTTTTCTTTATGTAAACCATGCACAACCCACAATTCCTCTAACGGATGGCTAACGCTGGAAACGTCAGGTTTAGAAACTCTTAACGGTGGCCAACTCATATTTTCAACTCAGTTGATAAAACCAGATGATCTTGTATTAACCCTTCCCCCCTCCCCCCTCCCCATCAACGCAGCATCGCAGTTTTCTTTAGAATCTTACCCCCTTGATATTTATGGCCTAGTTTCAGAGGTTGGCCTCATGGTTAGTGCGCTCGACTCCGGATCGGGTGGTCCGGGTTCGAGCCCTGGCCGGGGTCATTGTGTTGTGTTCTTAGGCAAGACACTTTGCTCTTACAGTGCTTCTCTTCACCCAGGTGTACAAATGGGTACCAGCAAATGTGCTGGGGGTAACCCTGCGATGGACTAGCATCCCATCCAGGGGGGAGTAGTAATACTCCTAGCCGCTTCATGCTAAGAAAACCGGAGTTAAGCACCGGCCCCATGGGCCACCTGGGCCCTTATAAAGGCTTACCTTACTTCAGAGGTTAGGTGTGAGGGGCAGGTCATTGAAAATTTTGAAGACAATGTTGGAGATTAGTTCATCATATCATGGAAAAGAACCTGCCGGTTTATTACCCTCAACCTTTTGAATCCCGTTTCGATAAATCGATGAGTTTAAGTTCAGCCGCCGGTGTTCTCTTTTTGACTCTCAGATAATTGGATTTTTGGACTCATTGTGCGGCCGCAAGTGTATGGATTTGAAAGTCGAAAACATGGATAGGTAAGTTGTTGATTAAACTTAAAAGTGTATGTTTTGTATTTAGGAATTCAGACAAGTGTTTCACTTTTATCTAGAGCCTCTACTAGAATAACTTTTTGGTGACGAAATCATCAAGGGACGATTTCTTTAAAAGCGAAACGATCAATCTGGCTCGAAATTATCTTTTGTTCATTTTTGTGTGATAGAGTCAGATGGTGGCCTTAACCTCTTGAGATCTGATTCGTATTTCTCTCTCCAGGCTGTTATACATTTTCTAGTAGATATGTTAGGAGTATTTGTCAGTTCTCATTAACTCTTTGCTGGTTTTTTTTTAAGGTTTAAGATACTTCTAGCTCTTGGCTTCGCGAAATTTCCGCTTTATCTCCAAAATGAGCAATTTTAGATTACCTTCCCCCAACTTTTTTGATAGGAAGAAATATCCTTAGATTTTATTTCATAATTATATATTACTAAATATTATTGTATATTACCTAGGATGTATTTTTGTTGTTACATGCAGGTACTCGTTCGACCCTCGTGACTTACTGGTTAAGATTTTGACGGTGTTAGTGCGCATGTCAAATGCTAGTGAGGAGAGGGAATTTGTGAAATGCCTTGCTGCTAACCCAGACTACAGCGGGCTCAGCGTCGAGCGAGCTTTACGTGTTGTTCAGCGCGAGAATCTCGCTCCAGACTTCGTGGTCGAAGACTTGAGACGAATTGTACAAGAGGTTAGTGTTATTGCATTTGTGCTTTTTTACAAAAAGGAATCAGGTAGTTTTTAGGAAGAGTATTTCATATAATAAATGATTAGAAACCACGATTCCAGTTGACCGTGTAGTCTGATCGTCTTGGTGAGAGCAGGCCTGGAAAGGATAGTTGTCGACAGTTGTGATTGATGTCACGAGAACCTGAGTGAAAGCCATCATGAAAGTCAAGTGGTCACGTGACTCTGATAATGACTTCCGCTCAGGTTGCGAGACATCTGCAACTACTACCGACAGCAGACCTTCCCAGAGTCTTCGTGGTGGAAGAATCGATTTTAAGTCAAAATTTAAAGAATATAGAAGCAGATTCTGGCATCCTAACCAGTCGATTTTCTTACATTAGCAGGTAATTTTATTTAAAAAACTCTCATCCGAATGGTCGCAGTACACGAGCAAAAGTGTTACGTACTTATTTTAAGTAAGACGTCTGAAGCTGGTTGGACCGAGCGTTTCCTTTCGGAGAAGAAACTTGACTTTGTGATAATAACTCGTACCTTAAATTATAACATAACCCTTCCCTCCCCCCCCCCCCAAAAAAAAAAAAACAAAAAAAAAAAAAAACAACAAAAACAAAAACAAAAATAAAAACTCAATATTTCATCCACTGACATGAATTAGGGACAACCGTTTAACAACCTAATAGCCATCACCTCTTAAAAGTACAAAATATTAGTTGCTCATTCACAGATTCTTATGCAGAGAAATTGAAAGTGGCCCGTTGAATTGATGTTTCACAGGTGAGCTCATTGTTGGCACGAGAAGATGAAAATTTCTCTGTGTGGGAGATCGAAACAAACACAGACGAGAATGGACTAGAAGAACCACCCGAGGGGGGTGGGAATGGACCTTGTGCACCGGATCCTTGTGACCCAAAACAGGCTGATCAAGCCTATATCGAAACACTTGAATCAATCAAGTTTGAAGCAGCCGAGCTGGTGGTAAGAGCAGTACACGACTGATACATTTGATGATAATTTTGGAGTATTTTATTCACTAAGCGTATAATATCTGAGTTATGTAGACCAGGAAAGAGGATATCAAGCCTAGAGACTGAATTGTCTGGATAGGTCGTATTCCTAATTAATAATACGTAAGACATTTTTAGATTATTCCCGTTTTCGGAAACCTCAAGAGAATCTAGAGATAAACTATCCTTTGTGGAAAACTTGTTGTGCGTCTCTTCGCCGTCCATGGAAACATTTAAGAAAAGGGAGTAGTGTAACATTATTATCTGGAAACTTAAGTCTGAAAATGTCTGTGCCTTTGTCAGGGATTCAGTCTAAGGTGTTGAAACTCTATTGGACCGGTCATGCGGATTTAAATGTTGTCCCTCGTGGTCTAGTGTTCTTTCAGTCAGGGTGTGCGCCAGCCTTCCCTCCGTTGTAAATTTTCCCAAAGTCTGTCTTAACTCAGTTTTAATTGAAGCAAATCACTTCAAAGATAACGATGACCAAAAGAACTACCTCAATGTGTCCAGCAGTTCTCCACTCACAGACCATGGGTCATTTTTGAACTTAAGTAAAACGCCCAGAGTAGGAGAAATATCGGTTGGGTGAATTTAGTTTAACGGGCCTCGTGTGCAACTATACCCAGAGCTTAATCGTATTCCTTTAGCACTGAGCTACTAGGATAATTGTTACTAACGGGTTCTTAGTGTATAGCAGGTATCCTCTCCTTTACCCCCCCTCCCCCCCCTCCCTCCTCTGCTGTGTTTTGGAGCACGTCACAATGAGCTTGCCAGCATTCAAACCCAGACCTCTTTTTTTTCTCTCTCTTTTTGTTGTTGTCGTAGATGATTTTATTGGGTAAACTATGATAAAAGGGTTTTCTTTTCTCGTTTCAGGATTGTCATGCCTTCCGGTCCTGTGCTAGTCAGCCCATGTGTCCCAGGTAGATTTTTGTTAACCTTTTCTTAATCATGTGCAAGACGTTTAGCTTACTTTGTTTTGACCGCTTGTTTTTGTCAGGTCTGGTAAAGTGCGGGCTCTTATGCGTGAAGCAACTCAACTGAAAAACAACTTGCCGATCCATCCAAATTCTTCTATACTTGTCAGGCAGGTTAGAACGATTCCGCTTTTTTTCATTACTTACTGTGATGATGTTAGTCCGGTAAAGTTTCTTCTCGCCGCCGTGTAAAACGTGAGGAGAAGCCTTGTTTTCTTGGGCAGGAATACATATTCAACTTAATTTAATAGGAAGTGAGCGGGCTAAAATTTTTTTTTGAGGAAACCGCTTAACTAGGTTCATATTGCTTCCCAGTTTGACACAAGATACCGCCTACCTCGGACACGTCCTACATTAACACCCTTTTAATAATTAACGACGAGGTCTTTGCAACCAGATTAACTCTTCCCCTGGGAAACTCCTCAAAAAGGCCTCTTCACTTTCAATATGGCGCCCCATTTAAAGGTGCCTTTGGCCCTTAAGCCCATCATGGATAACAAGTCTTTCCGGTGGGAATGAGCGCTTTTGGCGTAGGAAGAGCGCTTGTATCTTATTGCAGGGGCCTGGGTTTGATTCCCTAGACCTGGCTTCGCCTAGATTGAGGTTTTTTTTTCGTTCTGGTTCTCCTCCCTGGGGTTTTCTCTGGGCTAGCTGGTTTTCCTACTTAGACCAGAAGGAAAAAAAAAAAAACCACTTGAATTTCCAACTCAACCTGGAAAAGAGTAGACGAAAAGCCTCCTCTGTGATGTACCACTCCTGCGATCCAATTTATTTTGATTTGATTTACAGTAAGTGTTCAGAAACCTGGAAACTAGCGAGTTAAGAATTGTAGATAATGGATAATACTTTTTTCTTTATTTCCCGCGCAGGATGAGAACCGTATGGATTTTGTCCGTGCTCTTATCACCGGCACGGTAGATACGCCTTACAGTCGAGGCTGCTTTGTGTTCGATATCTACTTTCCGTCTTCATATCCAGTTGACCCACCTTTGGTGAAAATCATCACAACTGGTAATGGTACAGTCAGGTGAGGTAGTAAGGTTTTTGATATTTATTGTTTGATTTTTGTAAATTATAGAGCGGTTTGTAAAGAATTGTACTCATTCTTCTAAGCTTGTAACTCTCCACTTCTGAATTATGATTCTTGTCTCTTTCTAGGTATTGTAAGTTATTGAATGCAAGTTTTTTTTTCACTGCAGGTTTAACCCGAATCTCTACGCAGATGGAAAGGTAATTTCAAGCTGTACTTTGCCAAGATTGTTCCATTTGATGCTTTTCACGCTGATTTCTTGATTTTTCGTGTTTCATTCTTCATTGTTGTTCACATCTTTAGGTTTGTTTAAGTTTGTTGGGAACTTGGCATGGTGGAGATGCAAGTGAGAAGTGGGATCCAAAGAAGTCTTCTCTTTACCAGGTTTGGTTTTCGTTGAGTTTGTATTTATTGTTGTTGTTGATGGTGAATCTACTCACAAAGTTCGTTAGTTCTGTCCCTGATCTGTTGAAAGCGCCTCTGTGGGGATGCAGTTTTAGGTTTTGATACATTACTGGGCTAAGTCATGCGTATTTGATTGTTGTTTCTCATGATCAGTTGGTTCCTTCAGTTGAACGCTTCAGTTCAATATACAATCATTCCATTTTACCTTAAGCACGGAACACAACACAAAGAACTGGTTTGGGCTCGAACCCAAACTTTTTGGTCTGGGATTCGTCGTATTAACCACCAAGGTAGTGCGGGAATGTACTGGAACATTTTTGTTCTAAACCGTTATCCTGAGGTTAAACTAATGCTTAAAGAAAAATTGACCTTGAGAATGGATTGTAGAGGAAAGTTTACTACTGCGCGTCAATATTTCTTGGCGTTCCATGACGAGGCGGGGAAACAAGTATTATGGTGATCAAGGGAAAGTTGGGATTGAAATTGTGACCCTCTGGTGAGCGCCTGAAATATATGTCACTACTATTTTCGATCTCGGGAATGAAAAGTGTTGTACAAAATTTGGTCCACGTTCTCAATCTTCTTTTTCGGACTCCGACCATTAGTAAATGAGGACTTTGTAAATATCAGGTAAATTGACGCTAGTTAGAGAGGTAACCATAACGCCTTCATCATTTATTAGCCAAGACCACTGGTTCCACTCCATCTTCGAAACCAGAGCTCTGTCTTAAAATTGAGTTTTTTACTTTTTTTCTGTTATCGTAGAGACAAAGTTATGCTTTGAACTGTATTTCTCTTTTTGATGCTTTGCCAGGTTTTGTTGTCAATTCAAGGCATGATGTTTACTCCTGATCCGTGTTTTAATGAACCTGGTTACGAAGGTATCAAAGGAACCGACGAGGGAGACGTAAGTGAAATTCTTAACGGTTCTCTGTTTGACCAATGGACGTGTTTTTTGTTGACGCTGAAATTGAAAAGCAAAGTCAGTAATGAAACCACACCTTTCAAGTTTGCTGCGTAAAATGTGCGTCAATCTTTTACTCCATGATTCCTTCCTTGCTGTTACTGTTCATCTACCCATTGGTACTGGTCCATGATGACGATGAATAGGAATAAGCTGATGTTGTCATTCCAATCTGAGAATATGTGGCTATAATTTACACGCTCTTTCCGATAAGGGATATGTATCCTGTAAAGGTTGTTTTGCATCGGCGAATTGCCTATCTGCGCAGTGTTACCTGGAGATTGCGATGGTGGCTGAAAAAAAAGGGTGGCACAGAGCAGATGACTTCCGCTTAGGTTGTCGAAACCACTCACCCAGACGATTATGCTACACTATCCCATGTTACCCCGGGTTCAAACCATTCATTGTATTATAATCGAGTCGCTTCGATTCCATTTATTATCTTGTGTTAACTGAGAGACGCTATAGCTAGGTATTTCACGCCCTGAACTCTAGACGAAGAGTTCTGCATGCCAGCCAAAGCTAGTTCACTGTGTTGGGAAAGTTTATTTACCCTTACTTTCTGTCTCCTCAACCCCGGCTTTAGTAAGGAGTGAGATATTAGGTAAGCAAATGAAATGATTGCGTGTCACCTGCGATTCACAGGTATCCCATCCAAGAGGTGTAGCAATACTGTGACCTTAGTGGGTCACTAACTTTTAAGACATAACTGTAACCTTGCGTGACTTTGATTTCACTTGTCTCTCTCTCCCCAGGCTCTGTGTAAAGAGTACAATGCAAAAATCAAACTTCACACAATACGTCATGCCATGGTTGGGCAGCTACGTGAACCAGCACCTGGTTAGTTAGATTATTATAACTTACCGCGCTCTTTTGGAAACACAGCTACTGTGTACTGACTTTGCTTGTTATTATTCTAAAGAATTTAAGACTCCACTTGGTTCTCATTGGTCATATGCAGAAGGAAGAGTCAATAATTACAAAAATAAATGCGTGATGTTTTGATTTAGTTCGTAGCTACTTGTATTTTGACGATGAGGTGCAGTTTCACTAATGATTTGGCAATGACGCAAGTAATGTTTGTTATTTTGTACACGAACCCACCACACCATAACACCAGTATGCATATTCTACATATTGTTCTCTGTACATTTTCTAAGGTGCTGAAAAGGAGAATTAGTGTAATGATCAACAGCTTCTTTAGTTGGTGATCGTTTCCTTGATTCTTGTGACCTTAATGTTTGATATAGGGGTGATATTGTAAGGAGAAAGTAAAATCTAATCACTGTAGGGTCAAAGGTTTGATCGGTTACAAAACTGTTTTTTCCCTCCCTCTAGGGTTTGAAGAAGCCATTCGTACTCACTTCCGTCTTCAGAAAGAGGCTGTTTTGAGGCAGTGTGCTGATTGGCTCACGCAATGTGCTGATGCTGAGGAAGAGAGACGCATGCGCAAGGCCGTGGATACGTTAAAAAGCGAACTCGATAAGCTGTAGAGAAAAGGAGAGGGGAAGAAAAGTGAATCCAAATGCTGACCGTGTGAATCTCTCGGCTTCGCAAGATACATAAAACCACGTTTGGTTTAGTTCTTTTTCGGAAAGGAGAACGAACGCGTAACACCTCACAAGTTACCTACTTTTCCAGTGCAGCATATTTTAGCTTTAAATTGTGACTTCCATGCAATTTATTTATTGTGATGTCTGATGTCAAGCGCGGCTAAGGTCGGGTATCCATCTCATTCCCACAAAGAGAGAGAAAGGGTGGAATAATATCCCTTTTTGCTTAAATTATTTGAAATCAGGAACAAAAATCTGTACTGTCTTTCTGCTTTGTTTGCCTTTAGCTTTGACCGAGGTGTGACCACATTGTTGTGGCAAGTGATGAAAAATATTTCACTCTAAAAGCGTAGTTAAAATGGGATTGTATTTTAAGGGTAAAAGGTTATATTCATAGTAGAAATTGAATAATTGGCAATAAAATACTTTTAGCGGGAATGAATTGTTTTCTTGTGTCACTGTAAATCCTGAGAGGGACGTATAACAGTCGTTTTAAGTTTGTAAGGAGGAGACGTGAAAGGTATCGAGAGATTCTTCAGTGCATAACTGCAAACATTAATTGAAGCTTAAAGCAACCATGAGAAATGCCTCCACAGTGGTATCATGTTTGCAAAAATCGTTCTGCCTTGTTTTCCTTTAGCTTTGACCGAGGTGTGACCACATTGTTGTGGCAATTGATGAAAAATATTTCACTCTAAAAGCGCAGTTAAAATGAGATTGTATTTTAAGGGTAAAAGGTTATATTCATAAAAGAAATCGATTAATTAACAATAAAATAATTTTAGCGGGAATAAATTGTTTTCTTGTGTCACTGTAAATCCTGAGAGGGTCGTGTAACAGCCGTTTTAAGATTGTAAGGAGGAGACGTGAAAGGTAACGAGAGATTCTTCAGTGTAAAGCCGCAGACATTGACTGAAGCTTATAGCAACCATGAGAAATACCTCCACGGTGGTATTATGTTTGCAGAAATCATTGTGAAAAGGTCGCTCGTATTTTCGCTCGTATTTTCATTTGGTTTTGAGTGGGGTTGAATTTTTTCTGTTTTGTTTGATTTTAACTGTTACTTGTTCTGAAAATCGTTTGTTCTCCAAAAAACCCTCTCAGCCATGGCACAATTATCAAACCTAACAAAAATTTACTGCTCTCCTTTCAAGTGTTTTGTAAACTGTCTGCAAGCCAAGAAAATAAAATACCAACCTTGAGCAGTGTATTCTAAATCTTAATACTCGCCTAATCTTCCTAGTACTGTCATGCTTTGGAAACTTTCAAAAGAAGTCGGGTGATATCTCCAAAAACTGCCGAAATGCTACATACATATTTTTGGCTCAGAAGTATACCTTGACTCAATCCTAGTTCTTGACAAGAAGGTTGATCCCATAGAGACGCCTTTCCTTTACTGTACTCAAGCAGAAATTTCAGAGTTCAGTTCGCAGTTACGCATTTTGACTCCCCTACACTGAAATTTTCAAATATTATTTCGTTAGTCCGTTGATTTGACAGAAAACCGGTAATCTGCGGGTAAGAAAAATTCATAAGATTTTCACGAATGTGACTCTTGTCCATCTTAGGCGTAGACAACTCACGCTTCACGCACACTTATTAATTCACGAATCACGTTCCTCTTAGGGTTATTTTCACGCGTCACGTACTAATTTGTTTCCCTAATCATTCATCACACGCACCTCAAATATCGTCGATTAAAACCAAGACCGTTTCCTGGTAGCCAATATTATTCAGGCTTTTATTCGTTCGAGCCGTCAATTTTGAACAAGTCCAATTCAAAGCTTAACAAATTCTACTTACTTTCGATTTATCCGAAACTTTTTTCGTATCTTTCAGAAGCATTTTCCCTGTTCGAAATGTTCTCGTCCTTTCTAAGAGGGGACCTTTCGGATAACGAAGTTGATTTTCTCGCCTCAGAAGGCCGAGACTATTTTCTCACTCGCGGAATGATTTACAGAAACAAGAGTGGAAATTTAGAGCACAGACCCTTTACTGTCCTTCCCACTCCATTTCCTAGAAGACTTTTCGCAGCTGCCAGAGAGGTTCAAAAGGATTTTAATTTGCTGGTGCACAAGGCAAGCCAGGATTTCCAGTTCACGAAAGACGCACTTCTGAGGTACACTTTCATCTTTACTTTAATTTCCCTACTGATCATTCCGAATCGCTGGTTTGTGACAGTGAATCTCTCAAACTCGTGGATTTTCTCTTAATCTTCTGTACTTATCTTTTAGCACCATAACTGCGGATGTATTCACAGCAAAAATATTTTCCATTTACGAGAAAACTCAAGAGCAAGGCATAGATCAGGTGTGTACACAACTTGGCTGTTAGGGAGGTCTATGGATGCATGTCTTATACATATTAATTATTGAGCGAAAGATTGTCATTGATTCTACTATAAATCAACCCTTTCTTTCTTTAAGGATCCATGGAAAAAAAATTGATCGATTGATACCCTCTTTTCGTAAATTATTTAATTACTCTTTTAACATAAAAGGAACATAAACAATTTTGTTTCGAATCGTTAGGTAAATTACCATAAACGTTTTATTTTTCTCAGCCCATTTCGTTGGGAATCTTCCGATCGGACTACATGCTTGAACAAACAAGCGGGTTGCACAACCAAGAAGACGAAAACTTAAACCTTTGTATCAAACAAGTTGAACTAAACACTATTTCCATAAGTGCCATATCTTCATCATGTCGTGCCTCCAGCCTTCACAGGTATGATGCATCCTATTTTTTTATCCAAATTTTTACTTGGGACGCACTGATGCAATTACTTATGCCTGTGGCGATTTTGCGCTCTTTGGAAAGACGCTTTACGCAAAGGCAATGTATTGTTTACGTCCGTAAATGTTAGAAAGCTGCGCGAAAATCTGTCCCTTGATTAGACTTAGATAAACAATGAAGGGGATAAAGAGAAAAAAAAAAAAAAGGGTTTAATTTACGCAACATTTCGATGTCTTCGCGTTATGAGAAAAATTTCAAGTGATGAAATAAATGAAAAGAATATTCAATCTCCTTACAAACATATTCAGCGTGTAAAACTAGAATTAACATTTTAAATTGTTCATCTTTGTAGCTACTGATAACAATTTGAAAAATTGACCAACGCTGTTTCCTAGCGATAAAAGCACATTTTTACCCATGGCACCGAAACAATAAGTGACCTTACCAGTAACTCAGTAACCGTCCTCAATGAGAAATTGAATTGTTTAAGCCATCCTACGATATGTCATTCACATAAAAGAAAAATCCAGGCCCAAACACGCAATCAAAATCTATCGTGCAAAATATCAGTTAGTCTGTAGGGTGAAAATCAGGTTGTTAGAGACTGCAATACGCATTTTTTTTATAACTTGTCAACTCCGGTGCTTGTCAGTTCTGCGCTCTAGCTATCTTACATTTCCTCGTAAATTAATTACAAGAATTTGGTATTAGATCAAATAAACAAACTCTGCTTGATAATTCTGAGTATTCTCATTACCTGTTTGCTGGATAAAGTATGGATATTATAAGGAGAAATTACATGTTAATCACTTGTGGTAGTAAAAAGGTTAAGGAAATATGACATTGAAACTGGAAGACATAAGCAAACCTAAAATCGTAGATTTTCTCTCTGTGAAAATTGATTTTTTTGGAAGAATCTACATTATTTTGTTTGTTAACAGCAACATCTTACACTGCAAATAATTCTTCAAAAATTTCTTGTTTTCTACCATTTTTGATTTAGATCATGGAAATATTTTAAACTGTGTACTTCTAAATACTAAGAGCAATATATATATATATATATGTTTGAATTATTTTCGCTTACCCCAATGATTCATTTACGTGATTCCAGACATCTGTTGAATCTTATTGGAGAAGAGGAGAAGGTATAGTAACTATCATTTACTTTTGATATTGTGCTTGTGTTCATGTAACTTCCAAAACCGTTTTTTTTCTAAAACCATATGAAAAAAAAAATCATATTTACAGAGCTTGGACTAGAATCCTTCAATTGATGTTATTGTCGTTTTCTTTTTTCAAGGGTGCTTTAGCCCTTTTTGCTAACCAGTTGTCTTTCTCCTTGCATGCTTCTTTGTAGTCACCGCCTCCAAACTTTGCACTCGATGAAGTAGCTGAGGGACTCATTAAGGCTTGGGAACTATACGGGTCATCGAGGTATAACCGATACACTTAACTAATATTTAGACCAATGATTTTCTAGTTTTCATTCGGCCAGCAGCTTCGATCACATTTCAAATACGTGCATCAGTCACATTATCTGGCAAAGAATGAAGAAATGATCCCGCGTGGGGTGTTACTACATCTAAGCGAATTGCGGTCGTTCCGCTCGAAAGACAATCCGCCCGAGAATGGAAGTCGATCCGCCCGACGAACAAACAGTGCATCAAATTACAAAGATTAAGCTGTTATTCCATTTTTTATTTCTTTTAGTAATGTTTGAAGATATTTGTTGACCGTGTCATCAAAACAACAGCTCATTCGACCGCTGGGATATTTAACTTCTTCGGAACCTCCGCGATCAAAAGCAATATCATTTTGTTATGTAATAGACGCATCGAGGCCAAATATTTGAGGCAAAAAGTCAGTTGTGATGTTAGTATAAAACTCAGAGAAAAATATTAAACCATTCATGTTGTATTTCGTTACAAAAACTCATAAAACACTAGTTTTATTTTATGATACCATTTTAAAGAACTCTACAAAACTCATAGATAAGACGACATATACATCGGGCGCAATGACTTCGAAGTTCGGGCGGAAAGGTCTCGGGCGGTTTGACTCTTGGGCAGAACGACCGGATACCCATCTAAGCAAGGTACATGATTAATAATCGGGCGAGGCATTGTGTTACTATATCGATCAATGAAAAGTCTTCTAATCCAATCGTCTTGTTTTATGTTGCTGACCAACGTTTGTTGTTTTCCATTTCTAGCAAGGTTTTACTTTATATCTTTTCAGTGCTGTTATCATGTTTATCGTTCGTCCTGATGAAGTGAATGTGTATGTCCAAAGGATTCTGGAATACAGCATCAGAGACAAGTAATGAATTTGCAGATAGAACGCTTTTCTACTTAATGTCGTAAAACCAGAGTGAGAGTGATCACCACAGTTCATCAGAGGAAACAACATCATTAAAAACAACCATAAATTCAATGCAAATTGAACGAAGCGAGCGAGAAAAATGCGAATAACTAGTTGAGTCATGATCGATTTTAATTCATTGTCTAGCCGATATTCGAGATCCAACGCAAGTTTTCTAGACCCTAAAATGTAAAACCACAGGTAGTAAAACAAAAGCAATCAAATCTGTGATTACTTTTGCCCTCGAGCAGTGCGAATGATTCAATTCATAAAGATATTGCGTGTATCTTCAACTGGTTAGCGTTCTGATGTGTGGATCTAAAGGTCCGGGTTTCAACGGGAAAAACCTGATTTCACTATTCAGGGGTGTGGGAAGAATTTTCTTGTTTGATAGGAAGGGGGGGGGGGGGCATTATGAACTATTTTAGGTGATGAATAAAATACAACTTCATCTTTATTCTTGCAGAAACCGCGCTGTGAAAGTGATCAGACGAACCTTAACCGAAATTTGTACTCAAAGCGAAATACAGGGCGACAAATCTCTCTTTGTGTAAGAAAGTTGGCATTACATTTATTATCTCCCAGTAACTCTTTGATCGTATCTCTTAATTCACTAACTAAACGACTGAGAAGCTGATTCACTGGTTAACTCCCCATGTATTGAATGAATTTCTTTCTGACTGGGCGATAAAATACTTATGTACTCGCAATGATATACCTAATACTAATTGTTGTGATAAAGTTCTCCGTTTCCTAGTTTTTGCGTGATAAAATGGAAAATTATTTTTTGGGTTAATTTCTTTTAGTTTATTCTTTCAAGTTATTGAGATAGTAATTCCAAAATCGTGCGAAAAAATCTGCTTTTATAAATGACTACATATGTATACGCCTGAACTCTTATTAGGTTCTTATTTACCTTTAACAGGGATGGACTTGAGGTTGCTGTAGCTTACTTTAGAGCAGGTTACACACCCGTTGACTACCCTAGTGAAGACGTAAGTGCCCTTGCTAACTCCTTTTTCAAACCTTGGATAAGAATTTTTCGAAAAATGTTTTCCCGAAGAATAAATTATGTGGAAACTAGCTCAGTGAAAACGTACTACCGCGAGAAAACTATGCACCTGTATGAGATAAAACGCAGAGATTTTAAGGATAAGTGATAAATTTATTTGCCGCGAGTTCTAGAAAAGGAAACGCTTATCTAAGTTTCTGATAGGCTCATGTATGTGTTCTCAGATGACATACATGTTAATTTTCTGACTCAGGAATGGTCAGCTCGTCTAACAATCGAGCTGTCTCGTTGTATTAAATGCCCGACAGTGGCTCATCAGTTGATGGGAACAAAAAAGATGCAACAAGTATTTGCTGAACCTGGAGTTTTAGAAAGGTAACAAGCTCCGAAGAAATTAGGGCTCGAGATAAACAAGGCACAATCTTTAGGTTTTTTCTTGTAAAACTGGGTGGGTTGGTTGGAATGGGGTGTTCAACCGTGATACCGTTATCCGGGTCAGCCCTCCCCGCCCTTTCATGGAGACACATTGTAGTTATATAAGAAACCGAGCCAGCCCCGATTGACTGAGCTCATATGAATACATTCCTAACCCTTTATAGACCTTTACACCCTCAAATCAGAGTAGATATTCTTCTTACTGTGCTCTACACATTGTTTTACAATCCAGGGCCTCTTTTGTTTGCGATCATTTCCTTTATTCTCATAACCTTAACATTCGATTCAATGAACAAATTGTCAGGAGAAATTAGATGCTGGTCACCTTTAAGGATTGTAGGGTTTATAATCTCCAGCGGTGTAGTATTTTTATGCAACTGAGTCAATTAATAACTTCATTTTTCATATTTTGAGTAGGTTTTTACCGAATAGAGAGGCAGTGGACAGAGTAAGAGCAACCTTTACTGGATTATACACTCTCGATCCGGTAAATGAATAACTGTACATAGTGTTAAGAACTTTACCCAGTGTGTGAAGGCAGAATTTTAATAACCAGACCTTGCTAAGGAATGACATACTTGTGTCTCTCCCCTGAGAAGCTAATCTGTGGTGATCTGAGACAGTGTATAGAGTACATCTGTTGCTGCATGCGTCGACCCACGTCATGACTGTTCGTATCTGTAGGTTTGCATTTAAGATGCATTTACAAGTCTCTTCAGTATGTAATGTGTTAAACGTCATTTAAGGACATATCTACTAAAATAACTGGCATGGGTATACAGTCTATGGAGAATTTTCAGATTGAATGTAAATTGTCAAAATCATGAAATATGCCAGTTTTTCGAACCTATTTCAGACCGAATCAAAAATTTTATTCTATATTTCTCAATTTCAGGGACCATCAGGAGATCGCAATGTCGAGTGTTGTCTCCAAGCAGTGGAAAGGTTTGTCATGAAACCTCAGAGGGAAGGAGGAGGTATGATATGATTTACCTTTAATAGCCAAATGGAAAGAGATGAGAGAAATAACAACAACTTTGAGCTTCGCTGTTCTCTTTGAGAAGTGCAAAACTAGCTCTAGCAATCAAAAAGTAAAAAAAAACACTACTAATTTATTACACTAATTTGTGTGAATACCTGCTCATCCCATGACTACAGGTAATCTCATCTATGGGGAAGATATCCGGCACACACTCCAAAGCAATCCTGAAAAGCGTTCTCAGTATATTTTGATGGACCGAATTCGACCTGCTTGCATCAACAGGAACTTTATCGTTCGTCAGGAGTCTATAAAACCTGCAGAAATTATCTCTGAACTGGGGATTTTTGGCATTTTTCTCAGGTAACCGGCGGTTTTTAATATAATTTGATTTTTCTGTGTTGCTGGAACCATTTTCAGTATTGGAGGACATGTAAGAAAACCCTTCGGATATCTTTAAAGTTGTTACCTGATTTTTCGACCTGACCCGATCGTTTTCACGATGAATAGGAATCTGACCTGATCAACACTTCCTATTTATACGCATTTAGCCTCATTCGATGAAAAAAGATAAACTAAGATTGTTCACTGTTCAGAATTTTTTCCTTCACAAATTGCTGCACCGTTGTTTTCATATTTAACCCTCTCTGACTCTCCTCAAAACAAGTCAGTTTTTATGATTATGTCAGTAAAATCTGTTGGATTCTATAGAAGCGCTTCCCGATTGCTTTTCACAATCGATCACAACGGCGAATAAGATCTGAGGTTAACCCTTTAACCCCTAGGGGTGACCAGCCTCTAATTTCTCCTTACAATATCACCCCTTAATCAAACATTAAAGCCACGAGAATTAAGGAGATGATCATCAACTTATAAAGCTCTTGGTTTTTAGACAAATTCTCCCTGTCAGTCCTTCAGGAAATGTATAGAGAACAGTATGGAAAATATGCATACTGATGTTAGGATGTAAAGGGTTAACAAAGCAAGGAGCCAATGGAAACTTAAAGTAAACGCATGAATGCTTTAACCCTTTACCTTCCATGAGTGACCAACAGAGAATTTCTCCTTACAATATCACCACAATATCAAGCATAAAAGTTATGAGAATAAAGTAAAATAGATTATTAGTTGATCCAATAGCAAATTCTCCAAATTTACATCATAATAACTGTATGTCCGACAGTGAAGAGAATTACTTATTATATCTTGGGAGTTTAAGGATTAAGTGCGCGAAAACGTGAATAACTTCGAGCTACGGTTAGCAATAGTTTTGAATCTGATTGGTCAAGAAAGTGACACCAACCACTGGACCAATCATACAGTGTGGTGATGCAAAGTCAAGGCGATTGCTGTCGACGTTCGATTGAGAATTCTCTTGCATCTTGCCAATTAAAGCCTAACAAGCCTTTTTCTGCTGTTTTAGTCAGGGAGATGAGATACTAATCAACAAAGATGGAGGCTACCTTGTCCGCAGTAGGCCATGGGATAAGTTAGAAGTGATAAGTCTTCATGGAGAAGGCGCCTACTGCAGTCCATATTTGGTAGACTAGAATGCACTTCACTTAAAGAGTAGCAAGCGAATAGATTTTATGTTGCTGTGCGGCTGTGCTGTAGAAAAACACAGATAACGTCAAGATGTAATAAAAACGAAAGAATGGCACAGGAGGCACAGTCGAGTGTGTTACTGATGTTCTTAACGGTAGTTTTCTCTTGTCCTCACTAATTGTTCAAAAAAAGGCTGGTATGACCCCCTTTGTCGTACAATGATATACCTCTTGAATTTGTATTTGAAAGGTTGCGGAGAGGCTGCGTATCTGCAGTGAAATTAAATTTGCTCTCGCCCTTCAGTGAGGAGAATTTCCAGAGGGCTGGTTAATCATTTGAGTGTGCAAGGCGAGAATAAAATCAAATATGTCCCTTTGAGCTGATTTTTGTCTTTAAAAAAGACTTTAAAAGGAAAGATCCCGAAAACTGTCATGAAATCTTCTTCTCTAAGCAAAAAGTCGTCGACAATTGACAGGGATGGCAGGGTTGGTAATGTTCAGCTTTTAGCGCTGGGTACTAATCCCTGGGGTTTTAGTGACGGGGTTTCAGCGCTAAATGATACATGTAAGGGGTTTCTTGATGAGAGAGGAATTGAATAACGAGCCAAAAGAAAGCCAGGAAGGAGGTATTCATAACGAGTTTGCAGCACGCACAATTTTCATTTCCATGTCCGGTTGTTATAAATGCAAGTTTTATGTTTTGTGTTTATGTGACCTTTGTGATATTCAGTCACGGTTAGTCGCAAGTTAACTTTACCTCCATGATATTTTTATTTGAACACACCAGGGCCTAGTTTTTAAAAGAGCGGATAATGCTATCCGAAGGATAAAACGCTATCCAGCGGACAAGAGTTAACAAAACATACTGTGCTATCCACCGTATAGAGATTTACCCCCGGACTAGTATAGTTTATGATTACCCAAGAACTCCTACATAGAGCCAGAATTAACACCGCACACAAATATTAGCAACCTTCAACAACAGCGAAAGGGAGGAACGAGATGCAAATATTGTATGCAAATATTGTATGGAATATATGCATGGAATAAGTGCCCGACAGACTCTCCTTCCACAATTGAAGATTCGTGTCTACAATCAACAAATCAGTCTATTTTGTCTAATCAAAACATTGAACGTCTTTCCACGAGGGATACGGGACTGTTTTCTTTTTCTTTCGAAGCTCAGATGGCAATACTATTTGGAATTTGCTCTGGCAAAAGATATGGGTACGGGACACAAAGTTTTGCGTTTCGCGCCTTAATTTCAGCGGATATGCCCTTCAGTTTCCTCTGAAATACTTCAATGGCGGCTTTGGCAGGTTCTTCGATGAATAGCTCCTCTGGGTAGTCACCAATGAATTTCTGTCAATTAGAACAAATTATAAGTGGTTTTGAAGTAGTACGAACTACGATCGAAAAAACAAACATGTACTTGATAACATCAACTCTGCACTAATGGTTTTTGCATGATTTGTTGATGAAGCACGCATGCGTATCGATTGCCTGCTTTTCAAAATGTGTTCCGTTAACACTAAGTTCACTTTAAATCCTAGAGGTGACCTCAACTGGTACAAGAATAAAGGGGGTAAGTTTCTAAAGAAACTGCGGTGCTGCGTCGGTGGAGGAGTATAACAAGACAAATTGGTTTTATCAACTGAGTTGACAGTGTAAATTAGCCAGCGTAAGAAGTTTCTAAAGCTGACTTTTCAAGCATTAGCCCTTTTTCAGAGCGAATTGACGATCGCGAATTGCTGAGGCTCTGGAAACTCTTTATGGTGGCCAAGTCACATTATTAACTCAGTTGATAAAACCAAATTACCTTAACTGGTACAATTGAAGACAATCACGAATTGAGCACAGAAGTTATGCATTACGGTACCTCGTCTTTAAAAATACGGGTCAAGTCGTACACCGTGGCAATGGTGAGGGAAGATTGGTGCTTGGTAGCCAAGCATTTCATGAGGTCTGCTTGCCCCACAACTCCTTTCTTGGTCGGTGGTGGCTGACGCATGAGTGCTGGAGAATTTGGCGGGAAACCGTATACGTCCATCTGGGAGAAGTTAACTGCTGCGTGTTGGCAGGCGCAGGTGAAGATGATGGAGGTCAAGAATTCATACAGCTGGACGCAACTGGTAAAAGATGGCGGAACACCATGGTTTGTATGGCCTGGTTTATTGGGATAGCCATTGTCATGCAGATCTTTGACCCAATTCTGAAGCTCGTAGTCCTTTAATAAAAGTAACACGACGAGTTTTGTTTTGATGGATTACAAGACACAGATTGCGAAAGGAAGAATAAATAGCCAAAGTGGCAAAACAATATCCCGAGTTGACGGGATAATAAATTATGAGTGTTTGATTACCGCGGATTAACACTCTTCCGAAAAAAAAAAGGTGGATTTCAACCTCAGTTCGAATGGAGGCACGGAAAGGATAAGCTTAATCTACAGTCGTCCTTGATCAGGAGACCAACAAATGCAACTACTGTGCGCGGATTTAAATCATATTCAACAATTTTGATTTCATAAACCTTTACTTTTATTAACTCTCTGATATGGTTTAAGTAAAATCGTTAAGTGCGCAGGCACAAAAACAATACAGTGCTGACAACCTTTTATCTCCCAGAAGTGACTAACATGTAACTTCTCCCTATAATATCCCTATACTATCCAACAAAAAGGTACTGAGAATATTCAACGTTATCAGGTGGAAGTTTTCATCTTGATCAAACATCAAATTCTCGTAAATAATTCACTAAGAAGTGTGCTCTTATCTCCCAGAAGTGACTAACATGTAACTTCTCCCTATATAATATCCATATACTATCCAACAAAAAGGTACTGAGAATATTCAACGTTATCAGGTAGAAGTTTTCATCTTGATCAAGCATCAAATTCTCCTAACTAATTCACAAAGAAATGTGTATGAGCAAGAGAGGAGAGTTTACAGTCAGATGTTGGGAGTTAAAGGGTAAAAATAACTCAACGTGACCGCGTTAGATTTGGTGTGGATTTTGCTGCAAGGAGATAGAGTGGCTTACTTTACCACTTCGTCGTAAAGACTTAGTAAAAGCTGTTTTTTTTTACCTCCTTTGGTTCTTAGAATCCTGAAGAAACTGATTAACGTCCAAAAAAAGCCATCGAAAGCACTCTATATTTCTCCTTCTATGCTGCACAACGTGATGTAAGGTTGAGAGGAAGGACAACTCGAAAAACTTCAGATTTTGTAAATTGGTCGGCTTTTTAGATCGTTATTTAACAACTTTTTTTAGTAATCATCCAACACCTTTTAGGATTATTAAACCGGTCTATCGTTCGATTAAGTAATTGACTCATATGATTACCTTCTGCACTTCACCATCAGAGTGGTAATAGTCAGACAAGATCTCCTTGACGAAGTCTGCTATGGCTGCCCAGAGTTTTAAAGAATCTTCGCGGTAGTGGAAGTTGGGTAGTTTATCGGGATCATCCACCCCTCTGTCTTTTAGCACTTGTGGCAGGATGTACGAGGGCCAGGTACTGCTGCTCTTGTAGAATTTTTTCATTAGGGTGACATGCCCTGGCAAAAGCAATTAGACACATGTGTAAAGCGCGATGACTCAATCAAGCTCAAAGTAACATGGGAGAGTAGATAAGAAAATCGTCAAAATTCATAAAGATGCCCTGCAACTGGATTTGTCAGGAGACCTAAAAAAAATGTGGTAAATATCCTTAATTTTTTTACATGTGTAAGGAAGCAATTTAAACCAGACACTTGGTAATTTGACCTCCCGGGAGACAGATTGACGCTATGAGTTATCGTTTTACCTCCTCCGCCAACAGTCAAAGTGTTATCAGCTACTCCTCCCTCCGCTATCAAGACATCTCTGCCAAGAGTGTTGATGGCCAGAACTCCTCGGATATGAGGGGCCAACAATTTCCAAACGGGGTGGATTGTGGGTAGCTGTCTATAGCTGGCAACGGCAATGGGTTCCATGAAGAGATGGGTGCGGAGAAGATGGGTGACCATCTAAATACAACAGACACAAATGACAGGAAATCTTATTTTGTAAAAAAAGTGCATTTTTCAGGCATCACTCTCGTGGTTCTGGGAACCTATCTTGCGTGTCGACGTATTATTTACCTTCTTTATTGCACCAAATTACGGAGTGTTTATTTTTCAAGTTCTTTACGGGCCGTCCAGGGAACCCAACGATCAAACGTCGAGCATGCACCAATGGATCACGTTACAGCCGGCTGCGCCAATCTCCCGCGCAAAAATTTCAGGGGAAATTATATTGATACACCTTAATAAATCAACAAAGCTGAAATGGTAATCTTCTTCTCAAGCCTGTTCTCCATTTCCTCTGCGATCCACATGTGGATGATTATCTATGCCTCTCACTCTATTTGAGGAGACAATCCGTGATGCTGAAAACGAATTAGTTTGTTTTCACATAGCTTCAGGGTAACGTCTCGCACGCAGGCAAGAATTCATGTTGTCTCAGTTAATAAGACGGGTTTCAAAGTAGCGTACAAAATAAACAAAGCATTAAGGACAGTTTGAATTGACCATTACGGGAGGTGAACGAATGGAAATGATAAAAATAAGTTGATTTGAATCTCACGAAATCTCTATAGATTCTCCATGTTGATGCCGTCTCATACCTGATGGAATTGAGTGTCAGAGTTACGCAGCCACAGCTTAGCACAGGTCCAGTCCATCTCGGAATCATTTGGGGTCCATATAGGGTTTTCATGGTGTGGTTCCTGATGGAACTGAACTGCTATCGGCACCAGGTCTCCGTTACCTTTCACGTAAAACAGGCCTAGGCTTGCGCACATGTATCTCCTTTCTAGGTCCGGTCGGTCCTGCCCGTAGTGCGGGATGTCCTCCAAGATCTTATAATCCACCATGTAAATACGGCCATCCTATGTGATGACACCAAGAATCTTTTTCAATACTTACATGAGACAATGAAATGAGATATCCTCGTGAAATTCTTAATTATTTTGGGCATTAAAAAAGAGACCGCATAAACGTCAACCTTTCCACAATCAAATAGTGCTATTTCTTACATGTGCAATGTTTCTATTCACTAAAAGAACTTATTTACCGCCATGGTTTTCAAATACCGTTATCTCTTACATGTGCAATATTTCTATTCACAAAAAGGACTTATTTACCGCCATGGCTTTCTCTAAAGTGTCCCCACTGTCCAGCAGGTTACCAACCAACTCCTGTGTGACAGGAAAGTGGGGTGGCAGTTTAGTGCACCTCATGATTGAATCAGGATTACAGCCATTGAGAAACTGGTATCCAAAGAAACGGTCCTCTTTCCAGTATTTTGCAGCTAGTGGAACCTCTCCAACAAAGCCAGTGAATGCCTATTTAAATAAATGTAGAATTTTTACAAATATATCAGACTATCAAATCAGTATGAAATCACTTGGCACTTAATAATCATTCTGCAATAATCTGATAGAATTGACCGAACCATTTCAGAACTCAGAACAGAACAGAACCGAAAAAAAGTGTCTCTAAAAATCGGAAGTGTCAATCGGCAAACCTTGCAGTAGTCATCAAAGTCGTCCCACTGGTCAAAAAAATTCAACAAGTGCACAAGACCCAGGTTGATGAGTGCGTTTTTCCTGGCTCGATGAAGGTCATAGGCAGCTTCCTCGGTAAACTGCACGTCCTTGGGAAGATTCTTCACTCCAGATGCTTTCACGTAGCCTGGCAGATCCTCATACACCTCATCTTTACCCCACTCATACAGTGCCCTCCTCTCCTTAAGCTCGGCTTCACGTCGACTTTTCAATTCAGGATGTTGCTCATCCGTGGGCAGTTTAGCTGAAATAGAAACGCAGCGGCATTAGGGGCCATCCATACAAACTGGTCGACTATGCCACATTCTTCTGTAGAAATGTGAATCTTGCGCCAGGGTTGGGGGGGAGCGCACCCCCCCACCCCTTCCTTGAGATGACCAGTGGCTTTCTTATACAACAAGTATTGTGCGAAAAGAAAATGGAAAAAGAAAACTGTGATTTATTGGCGTTGAAGTAAAACATGAGATGAATTTAAAGAATTTATGTCAAACGCCCTAAACGTTTCGAGCATTAGCCCTACTTTTCGTCATAATAGACGTCAGTTACCTCATTCCTTAGTAGTGCACCCCCTCCTAAGAAGAAGAATCTTGGCTCCGCCCCTGTGTGCATGTTCGACGCGCTGTTTAGCAAAGAAGCTTGCGAGAGAGACCAAGTTATGGCTGTCTTACCTTTTCCTTCAAAGAAAGTGACTTCACTCTCTACCCAACGATTGCAAGGAAAAACATAGGTGACGTTCTTAGTTTTGATTGTTACTCGGTCGACGAACCAATCACTTCTGTACCCGCCGCCATCATTTTTTAGAGTGATCATCAAAAGCTCGCCAACATCCTTGGCGGTTATGTAGTAGTCGTCCTTCTGTCCGGCTTCAAAGTCATTATGGAACCATTTGTCCATAGACAGAGGTTTTGTTTCGCCGTTGCTACCTGAGATGAAATTTTTAAGGCATTGTGTGAGGTTTTAAGTAGAAATTGGGGTCATTCATTTCACAAATGTTCACGGCCGCTCAGTTTGACAAAATTAAAAATGATTTTGTAGAACTTTCCCTCATTTCTTGGCTTCCACTAAGACAACCATTCTGACGAGGTGTGCAGCTTTCAGGTTCTATTTATCCAAGGTATTCACTACGATTGAAAATCTCAAACGTAAACATTTCATTGCTGAACTTGCCTTCATAACGGAGGGAAAAGGTTCACAAATAAGGAAATCTAGTGAAGTTAAAACGGTCGCAGAGAATCTAAAGATTGTACCTCCCCACCAGAGGTCTAAATTGACTCGACGCCTCAAAATTTAGGTTCTCGTGTAAATGCTAAGCGCCAAGATTCAAAAAGTCCATAAGGTTTCTTCGGTAGTATATTTCGATGGAGAAATTTGACGAGAGCAAGGTGTTAGGGTGAGTTACCTTTGATTATAAGAGACACTGATGCATCTGTACCAGCTCCTTTGCGGTTTCCCGTAACGACAGTGATTATATATTCTGACGTCATCTTTTCGTCTCCTGAAATTGACAGAGGCTGTATTCAAGAAATATTTCTAGTTCAAAGATATATAATTAGTCTACATGCAGATATTTTTGAGGAAGAATAAAAAATAGAGAGCTGACTTTTTGCTTCTTCATGTATCTGATTGCTGCCAGATCCACAACTGGCTAGTAAAGAACCCGCCATGTAAATTTGTTCAAGAACCAATCAATGTCAAGTAATTTTTCGTGGGGCATTTCTCAAAATTCATGAAAAATACCCTCTGTCTCAGCCAATCAACATTTAGTCATTGGCCCCCAAAGGTTATGAAATTATACCACTTATGATTTATGAAATCACTCAAAAGGCAAACGATACCTATAGTCAATACTACCTGTTTGCGGTTACATACGATGCATATTCGGTTGAGGAAATTTCCTTAAATTTACTTAAGTGTGTAAATACAAGTTAATTTCAACAACACTATTTTATCCGAAAGCCTGTTATTTTTCTGAAAAATAGTTTAAAGTTCTAACCAATTTATCAAAATAGAAAAATAGATAAATTATTGCTAATATTGAGATCCCTAGTACTGTCAAAGATTCCAGCCATTCACATGAAGAACAGGTTTTTGGCAATCGCATTGGTGTTTAGCAGCATGGATACGGGTTTGAATTTAAATAACTTTTGAAACCACCCTAATTATCTCTGAACTATAAAAATTTTTAATGTTTCATCTTTATCTTTCTTTTCTTTCCGAGCATGCATGACCCCGTAAAGTCGATAGATATTAACCTTGATGAGAATGATATGTTAAGAGCGGTTTTGAATTTAATTTAGAACTAAAGCACCCATAAAATTAGACACCCAATTTTCGTAATGTTGTATTTAAGCATCCTAGTCGTAAATGTGCTTTAGTGGATAAACCGAAACAACTGACTAATTTGAAAAAGATTACTTATCAGGTTGCTCCTTGTGGAAGTAGCAATCACAGAACAGGGAGGTGATCAGTTAGAAAATCGGTCTGTGTCAAAAGAATGGATACATTCTTACTATTGGTAAATAAAGTACTCATTGGAAAAGGAAAGAGTTCTTGGCAATAAAGAGACGAGATTGAGCAATTTGAAACCGGCTCTTAGCAGTCAGAAGAAAAATGATCTTGCCGCGGTTGTTCGAAGGTCTGATAACTTTATCCATAGGATAAATCTCCATCTGGTGGATAACGCCGTACGTTTCGCCACCACTTATTTTCGATTCATCCGTTGGATAGCATTATCCACCCTTTTCTACGAATGAGTCCTGGCTGTGAGGTTATTATGGCACTGAGTAAATTTAAAAGCATAAATCAGTAGCTTATAGCAAGGGGTAAAAAACAGAAATGAAAACACTCTCTTTCATGCGCAAACCTGAAATGTCGACATGTTTGATCCCTTTAAATTTAAGTCTTATCCAATCGAAACACTGGCATAATTCTTTCAGTTCGTTCAATTTCGACTCCATACCAACAGAACAACACCGGATCGAGTGCAGGCGAGGAAAGTCAACTTTGCGAACAGCTTAACTGCGAATTCAGTGACCCACTCGAAGCCTGGGGCGATAGGCGGTCAGAACATATGCTGTACCTAGCGGAGGGGGGAGGGGAATGAAAGAAGTCAAGAGATCGAGAGTTGGTGTGCATGGATATTTCTAAACCGAGCGAGCGAGTCTGGAGAAAATGTTTGAGTTCTGACGTCGAACTCGGAGTGATCTTCAGCTCGAATTAAAGCGTGTGTAGAAAAATGGCGGCTGTCATGTTATATTGATAAGATTACGTTTCTCATAACTGGTACTTTTATAAACGCCATGTAGCTTTGTGCCTTTGAATTTCGCCGGTTGTCGATTTAAAGCGATAAAGGAGAACTTTATTACACCGCGGTGAAAGACGTCAAGTCAATGGTGACAATTATATTTATCGTTGTCACTATTTTATCTCTAATCATGTACATGGAAAAATTACTCAGTTCTGATTGGTTAAGATAAATGCAGTTTTCAGGTAATTCAATGCAGAGGAGAGTTAATTCAGTGCAGAAGAGGGTTAATTCAGTGCAAAGAAAGTAACAAATCAGACATTCTGATTGGTCAATAATCAAAGAAACTCACAGATAGCCAATCAAATGCGAGCCTCGGATGTCGCAACAAAATTTGAAAATTTGCGAGCGAAACAAAGGCCTGCGTTTTAAGTAGGTTTCCTTTCGCCACCGCAGCTGAAAAACAGCTTAAACAACGAAAACACAGTGAAAAGCACTGCTTTTTGGTTGTCGGTTTGGAAAAAGTGGTGTTTAGAGGAGGGAATTGCCAAGGAAATCGAAAATTACGAGCCGACCCAGCTTAATCATGACGAGCTTTGCGTCGGAAAAAAAATTTATGCAAATTAGCTGGCTGCACTAATTTGCATAAGTAATCAAGCCAAGGTTTGACGCCTCTTGCTGGCATGAGGTGTTTGCTGAACATTCTAGGACATCCGGTAATCGCCACAGAAAGGTTAGTAAAGGTCCCCTGGAATGGAAACCGCAACTTCCGATGATTACATTTCTAATCATTTTCAAGATACAACTCTTCTTTGTTCTCTCACTTCCCAGAAACAAGAGTCCAGAGAAATGTTTTATACAAACTTAACGGGTCTAATTCTAAAAAACCTAAGGGGCGGCACGCTAAGCTTATTTTCTCTGTAGAGACAGTAAATGACAACAGTAAGACAGAAGACAACAGTAAATCAATAACACAAGGTTCACAAATAGTCCTGACCAAATGTTACAGAAACATATAACAGGAACAATTTAAAACACGTAAAAAGAAGAAACTCAAAAATTGCCAAAAAAGCGGCACCGATAAAGCCGATTTCACCTCCATGATCGAAGACCTAAGCCTATTTAAGGTTAACTCCAACAAACCTTTCTTTACACAAAACTTTTAAAGTCTAGAAACTGTGTTGGTTAGATAATCCTTCCCGTTTGGTCTACAAGCTTCGGCGCAATGCAACTGTTCTTATAATGACTATTTATCTGCGAAGGTTTTGGAACGGCATTTCTAGCTTTTCCGAAGACATCATTCTTGCCAAAACGACTATAACAGGGAAGAAGCTGGTCTAAAACACCGTTATTGCATTTTAGGTCATTGTGAACAAATTCACTCGTATGAAAATTGTCTCACGCGTCTGCCGTGTAAGGAGGGTAAAGAAGAGGTTAAAAACAACACTCAGATATAGGTATATATTACCCAAGAGAGTATAGAACAGATTAAGAGAGGATGTCAGCATCCATCGAACAAATGTGAAATATTGTGGCAAGTCGCCCAAGTGGGTGACTTGCCGCTGTTTGTCTGATGCATGTTGACCTTAGCTCTTAAAAAAAACCCTCAGGTATACACTACCCGAGAGGGCATAAAAGAGATTAATAATAAACCTCAGGTATACACTACCCGAGAGGGTATAGAAGAGATTAAAAATAACCCTCAGGTATAAACTACCCAAGAGGGTATAGAACAGATTGAAACAACCCTCAGGTATACACTACCCAAGAGGGTATAGAAGAGATTAAAAATAACTCTCAGGTATACACTACCCAAGAGGGTATAAAAGAGATTAAAAATAACCCTCAGGTATATACTACCCAAGAGGGTATAGAATAGATTAAAAACAACCCTCAGGTATACACTACCCAAGAGGGTATGGGAACGATTGAAACAACCCTCAGGTATACACTACCCAAGAGGGTATAAAAGAGATTAAAAATAACCCTCAGGTATACACTACCCAAGAGGGTATAAAAGAGATTAAAAATCACCCTTAGGTGTAAACTACCCAAGAGGGTATGCAAGAGATTAAAAGTAACCCTTAGGTACACACTACCCAAGAGGGCACGAAAAATTGAATTCCCCCCTATATATATATATCAGGAGACCGCTCTTTGTCTGGAGTCTTTTTTTTTTACTGAAAGTTGAGGCATCTACCGTTAGTTATATAAATATTATCTTTTACTAGTTCCCCAATGTCGTTGTCAATCTCGGCTATTCTTGGCTGACAGCTTTGCAATTTCCCATGATTTTTCGACTGGAGGCATTTCCCGCCTAAGGTATACGATCGAGAGCGATTTGATTTACCGCATCAACAACAGGATTATATTTTGAGACCTCGCGAATCCATCTGCTGGAATTCTCCTTGTCTAATCAGTCCGGCACAGAGACCAATTGAAGATTTAACATACATTTTGTTTGGTTACCAGGCATTGAACGAACAGCCTTTGTTGGCGCGCTTGAGACCTGCTGGCGTGACAGAACGTATTGTAGACATCGCGGAATGGACGAAACAATTTGTTCTTTGCAAAAGCATTCGACCTGATTTTACATTAACTTTTCGTTTACACATACCAGTACTTTTCGGGGTCGAGATTGGATCCCGTAACTATAGAAAGCTCAGCCGATCGATCGATCGACAGAAATATAGTGCCTCCGTAGAATGCATGCTGCGAATTTTTTTCGGGGCCAAAGCTCCTCATGGTTGCCCGAGCGGTCCAACGCCGAAATTAAAAACAAACATGGTTAACCTCGGAAACGACGATTCCATTTCATCGAAAGTGATTCGGACACAGACTGAACAATTCCTTAAACTGTTTAGCCGGATTTCTTTTTTTGCGCCTTAAAGATGTGAAGATATCATTGCATATTATTGTTTTGATCGTACGCGGTTGTTTAGACCGAACGCAAGGTTTGAATTGATTATTTTTGCACTTGATGGGCGTGCTTTACTTATGCTTAATTATGATAAGCCATCTCGTGTTTTTCCATGTATATTAGACCTCAATCGACGCGGAATTTTGCTCTGAATATAACGGCTTAAGTGCCGTTAATTGTTGTGAAGATATCATTCAAAATGACGTGTATGCCTGTGATATGTAAAAGCATTATTCCAGCGTGGCTGTGCATTGCCAGTTTTTTAAAGCGCTTGATTAATTTTTACTTACGTCCTATGTTTGTGCAAATATTCTAATTAGACCCAATTTATTTTCAAATAAGCTTCATTTTTAGCATGCCAGGAGGTAATGTGATGTGAATACTAATCGAACTTCAAATGATCAGGGAATGTTAAATATACCCATGAAACAAGTCTTCATGTTAAGTTGCCCACTCGTAGATTCTCTTACCGGTGCAAAGCTCCTCTGTTAGCTAATAAAACTGCGATCAATCACTTACGCTATCTTCCGAACTCCGGGCGGAATGCAGATTGGAATGTAGAACGGTAGAGACGTCAGTAACAAAGATAGGTGAACTCACAATTAAACAACAGATAGTAGCACAAACGGCTAGGACAAACACTCAATCTCTGATATTTTGTTAAATTGTTCATCGCAGAAGAAAAGAATCAAGGAGAGTGCGTATGTAAGTAAACTTGCTGCAAAAAACTGATGCCAAGAAGACGAAATAACATTTACATTGGTTACAAGAAAGTTTTAGCCATCGAATTTCGATGTTTAAACTGGTTTACTTTTACCATTACCAACCCATACGAGGGAGATATAAAATATCTAAATGCTATTTTTTTTAGTTTTTTACCTCAAACCTTGGAACCAATAACTGATGCTAGGCACTTGCCTTGACTGGAACTCTGATTTCGTTGAAAGCGTCGAACGTTTTAAGTGACTCTTCGCGCGCAATTTAATATATAGCGTCACAAGCGAACCCACAAACGCAAATACGGGTCACGGTGTTCCAATAGCTTGTAAGTATTTGTTTAAAAAAAAAAAAAAAGAAAAAAAACAACCGCCACAAGTATTCCGCTGTCCACTTCCAGCAGATATGCGCGCAAACAGACCGGGAGATGTAAGCGCTTACTACCGAAAGCACATTTTTTTAAATCATTATTTTACAAATGATTTAAAAAAAAAACTTTTATTGAGAATAATTTAAGACCAACAGAAATGATACTTGTAACAGCCAATTTTTTTAACATAAACGTAATCAGTACTATTTCCTCCATTTGAGAAAGTCGGTAACTTACAAATGACTTCCGGAATAATCTTGTTGACATACATGAAGGAACAGACCACAACATAGCCCAATGTCAATAGTGACGCAAGAATAAGCGCGTTTATTTCGTGGGTATTGAACAACTCACTCAAGAGCACTTTCCAGGCAAATTCGACTAAATCCTTTTTTTCTTGATTTAGTTTTTGATTTCGCTTTTGAATTTCGTAGTCCTCTTTTGATCTTCATATTTGACTGCCGCTGAATGACCCCCTTTCGACACGATATGATGATCTTAAACATTCTTCACAGCCTTTGGATTTTAACCCTAATCTTATTAGTAGAAATATACATCATAACAAAGGGCCAATATTGGTGTCACGTACTTCATCACAGGTTTGTTTTTATAATCGACTTATTTTGTAAATACTAACAAATTTTTGACTTAAATCGTTTAAACAGATTTTTGAACAACAATTTTATTGTCCTTTGGAGAGATTGAGAGAGTTTTGTTTCCTAATGTTTCTCAATGGAGTGTTCAATAATGGTCAGTTCCTCCCAAAAAATTATTAGAACTCGGTCCTACTTGATATACAAGTAATATATCATCATCATCACTTCACGGGTTTATTTAGAACCAACTTCATGACCAGCTCCCAGTTGGCTTGTTAGCTCAATTGGTAGAGCGCTGCACCGGTATCGCAGAGGTCATGGGTTCAAATCCCGTACAGGCCTGAATTTTTATCAGGCCTTATTTTCACTACTGCCTAAGTAGTGCACATTACTGCGAGGATCACTTTCATTCACTTCAAGTAATAGTCGTGTTGGAATTTTGGAGCCCAAATGCTCGTTAAACAGTCTCAAGTGACAAGAAACCGCCTACGCAACCCTTGTTAGAAGTTTCGTCACGTAAAGATAAAGAAAATTGCAATACGAGTGTAACTGAATGATCTTTTTGATCAGACTTCAGTTGCACTATCAATATATATATTTCCTCTTCCTCTGACGAAACACCTCTCAAGTTATTAAGGATTAAGACAAGTGATTGCTGACGAGGAAAGCTGCGGTTTTGCAATCGAAGCTCATTCTGCCAAGAAACGGAACTCGCTATTCATAATTTTTCCCTTGAGCATCATGTCTACCCTAATGTACTAACCAAAAGTTTTCTCCGCTGAGCACATTTTTTTTTGTCATCTTCAGTAGTCTGTTTTGTTCCTTTTCTGGGATTATAGTACAGTGAAATTCAATCGTTTTTTAACTGTCAATAAGTAGCCATTGATTTGTGGTAGTCGGAATATATATTTCCTCTTCCTCTGACGAAACACCTCTCAAGTTATTAAGGATTAAGACAAGTGATTGCTGACGAGGAAAGCTGCGGTTTTGCAATCGAAGCTCATTCTGCCAAGAAACGGAACTCGCTATTCATAATTTTTCCCTTGAGCATCATGTCTACCCTAATGTACTAACCAAAAGTTTTCTCCGCTGAGCACATTTTTTTTTGTCATCTTCAGTAGTCTGTTTTGTTCCTCTTCTGGGATTATAGTACAGTGAAATTCAATCGTTTTTTAACTGTCAAAGGACTTTTGAAACTACGACCCTCTTAAACTTCATTTGAAATTAAAGAGCGAAGACATGATAATATTTTTGACAATCACTTGTAAATTTCTCTGTAATTCAAATAATGCATTAGCATGAAGCGAAGTAGTTTATATCCATGTGATCAGCTTTATTTCTTCTACATTTATTCGCTCTTCAGGTCTTTTGGCTACTTGTGCAAAATCTGAATTGTGTTCGTCATGAAATCTTGCCGATATGAAGCGTCAGCTCTTTGGAGGAAGGAACAGTATTCCAGCGATACAAAACAGTTCAATTGGTGCCTATCATTAATTTTAAGAACGGGTTTCCCTTTCTATACCGAGGAATAAAAGGAATTAATTCATTTCTCCGAGGGATGGGCGTAGGAATTCTGTCCATAAGTAATACGTACAAGTGTACTTGTCGGCGCTGTACACATTACAACACAGAAAAATAGAAATGACTGGGTGCCAATCCACTATCAAGTGTTTGTGCTAGAGAAAAAGCATGATATAAGTATCTAAAATACAGCTCATAGAATGCAATACCTTCTCCTTCCGAAATCATCTTGATCCTGTCCTCGACAATAAGAGCAGACCTTAGCCAAACTTCGCTGAATACAAACTTTGCCCAGAATTTTGCATAAAAATTGTTTTAAGTTATGAATATATTATGGTGGTCCCTTGATAAAAAAAAATGAATATGCAAGATAAAGGATTGCAAAATAATTAAGTTTTTCATACTACGGAATGCCACAAGATCCTTTGTTGTAATTTTTGTGGATTATTTTGTTCGTTTCCACATTTGTTTTCTCACTCCTGATTTACATAAAGATAAAGAAAAAAACCTTAAGAGGAATCAAAGCAAAGGTCTTGTAAGATCTAATTGCAAGATTTTTTTTATCCGCGATTTTTTCTCAGTGTTTATTACCAGCATAGCTTGTTTTGTGTTCTGTCAGTTTCTTCGCTTGTTTCCGAAGGGTTTGGTGATTCGTGTTTCTTTTCGCTTCTCATCTGCATTTGCTTACCGGCATGTTCGCCTTTATTAGCGCCCTCATAGGTTTTTTTCATGTCCTTTTAAAAGGAGGAGATTAAACTCCCAAAAATGTTTTTCAAAAGACAACCGACAGCGATAAAAAAAAATTGAGCAAAAGTTTAAAATGTTACCCAGAGGAATTCGTGTTCTTGAATCCCCTGCTTTGTTGTTTTAAGTCGAATGGATACGTTTCATTTCAGTTTGGTATTTTGAAAACATTGGAAAATAAGTGAGTAGTTACTTCCGTCGCTTAAATCGATAACTTGCCCTTGCATTCGTATTTTTAAGAATATTTATGATCCATCAAAATAATTTTGGCTCGCGTGCTCTTGGTCTAAACGGTTCACAGTTTTCCTCGAACTCCGCTCTTGGAAAACTGTTGGCATCTTGGAACAGATAATGTCCGCGAACAAATATCCGTGCATATTTTCACGCCAAATATAGAGCTATTGTTTATACATCCATTTATTCTAAATTTCGAATTGGCTCAAAATTGTTTCATAAAGTGGAAGTTTAAAAAAATAATTTCATATGTTGTAGTATTTCATCTCACTGACTGATTTTCCTACCCACTTAGCTATTGATTACAATTTTTATTTCACAGCACGCCATTAATGAGAGTTCATTACTTATCGCTAGCTTCTTTGCTTCACGTTAAAATATTTCTCACCATTATTGTTTGACTTATTGCAAAATTGACTTCTTTTATTAACTCTTTGTAGACCCCTAGGAGTGACCAGCATCTAATTTCTCTTTACAATATCATCTCTGAATTACTCATTAAGGTCAGGAGAATAAACGAGCATCTAATTTCTCTTTACAATATCATCTCTGAATTACTCATTAAGGTCCGGAGAATAAACCAGCATCTAATTTCTCTTTACAATATTATCTCTGAATTACTCATTAAGGTCAGGAGAATAAACGAAACGATCACTAACCAAAGAAACTCTTGATTGTGATACCAATTCTCCTTGTCAGCACCTTAGGGAATTGTATAGAAAAAGAAATAGAGAATGCGTACACAAAAGCAAGTCAGGAAGCGGCTAGGTGGGCAAGTGTTACATTCTCACCCGAATTCAAACACTACAAACTATCAGAAGGACGCTTATAGAAGATTGCGGTGGTTAAACTAAGTAAATGGCCTCATCAACTCCATTAGTCCTAGCATCAGTATGCATATTCTCCCCATACTCTTCTCTAAACATTTCCTTAGGTGCTGGTAAGGAGAATTTGTTTAACAATTAAGAGCTTATTGGTTATCAGACTACACTTCCACATGTTATCCCCCGGCTTCAAACCATTTACTGTACAAAACAGTACGGTAGACTTACGGTAGACACTCGTCAGTTACGGAGAAAAGTTTTTGTATAGCCATTTGCCTTTAGGACATTGGAAACATATTTCCTCTTCTCAGCCTTCGAGTCGAGTGAAGATGGTAGACAGTCAGCCCTCCTAAGTAAAGTTTTGGCTACAGACTTTTTATGGCAAATAGGGTGGTGAGAATCGAAAGTGAGGTATTTGTCGGTGTGGGTAGGTTTACGGTAGACACTTGTCTCTAAATTACCCTGAACCCCTCTGGACACATTTCTTGATTTAAATGTGTCCAGAGGGGTTCAGGGTAATTTAGAGATTTATTTTAGTAATTTTCTCCGTAACTGCCAAAAACCAGTTACAAATAATAACGCTCTTGACGAAAGGTAACCAGCGACTGGTTTTGCTGTTATTCCTTACATACAGGGTGTTACGGAACCCATCAAGAGAATTTTGAATAGCCACAACGTGAAAGTTGCTCAAAAACCTTTTCAGACTTTGGGGCATATTTTCGCCAAACCTAAGGATCCTGTCACGAAAGAACAACGAACCGACGCCATTTATTCTATTCCTTGCAATGACTGTGACAACGAATACATCGGACAGACCAAACGTCAGTTTGGTACACGGTTAAAAGAGCACCGGTTTTTCTTTGCAAAAAGGAAAATTCAGCTTTATCGGAGCATACATGCCTAACCAACCATACAATTGGGTGGGATAATTCTAAAATTATCACCACTAATCGGCGTTACCGCCACCGTTACCGCCTTTGTTTGGAGGCTTGGCATATTAACTCCGCCCACGCTCCTTTGCTTCAGGTTTGCTTCCTGACGCCTATTTACACTTCGTCAGAAAAAAGGCCGCTAATTAGTGATCATATAAAAGGACCTCTTGTTGTTGCGTTTAGATCACCCCTGATGAAGGCACTAGACAGGAGTGTCGAAACGTTGGGTCTATGAATTGTAACTTCTTCAGTTACATTCATTAAATCTGCAAACCAGAGTAGCATCAAACTATGTCATGCTGGTTAAAATTAACACGACGATCTTTTGTTATCACCGACAAAGCCTGTCAAATCAGCGTCACCCTGACTGACAAATATACACTCAATTTTATGTTTCTTCCCACACTATAATGATGGATTCACGGTCAGATGAGCATATCATAATTCTTTACAAATATGTCTTTTGAGAAGCGGTAGGGGTAAACGTTTTTTTTTTTTTTTTTTTTTCAATTCGCGTAATCACGTAGGATATTCTACCTATATCACGAAGTCTATGAATAACCTCGCTATTCGGTGTTACGGCTTTCAGTTTGGACAGATTCCTTGCCATCCATTTTCATCTCAGATATCAGGAACTTGTGACTCAAAGGCGTGTTGTTGCCGCGGCATTGTGGCGTGGATCTTCAGCGAATCGCTTTCATCCCTTGGTCTGTTGATTCCAAGGAATGTCATAAAGCTGGTTTTTGCTGCTAAAAACGTTATTTGCACAGTGCTGACGACAGTGGTCTTCGCTAATCTTCTTGCAGTTTTCGACGCTTTAGTTACCAAGCTCAAATTCCAGTGCAATACTTTGGTTAAATGGTAAATGGGACGGGTCTTAGAAATTCTGCCATGGTTGCCTTGTATATCAGTAATACTTTTCACGATAAATTCATGGACCTTAGTGTTTGTTAATTCTTCTTTAAACCCTATAATTTTCTGCTGGAAGATGAGGCACATTCGACGTGCTATTTTAAACGTTCTGCAAAATGTGCATCAAAGTTGTAGGTCAAGTTGATATCACTGTTACCGAATATCATTTAAGATCTTGGATATTTTGGGTTATAATTTCATTCTATTTGTGTTTGAGGAAACGGAGCCACCATGTCGTTCTTTCAAACACGGTGCAAAACCGTGAACACATTTTGTTTGTTTATAGTGAGTAAAAATAGCTCTGTATTGTATTTCCCCTCAAGATTTCCTTGACAGTTTTATCCCTGATAACTTTTCCGTGTCAATGTAGAAAGAAGATAGTAAGCAGTGCATAATTATTAAAAATGTTTTCTTTATTCGATCTTTTGTTCTAAGAGCTAAACTTTCTGTGGCTTCTGTCCATCTTTCTTTCGTGCACAAACGGACATGCTATATTTTTTTTAAGGATAGTTACAAAGAAATTTGGAAAAAAGAAATTTCGTAGTGAAGATCGACAAGATGTCTAAAGTCAAGTAAACATGGAACGGTTTAGTTCTAAATCAACGAAAATCTACTCCAGAGCTGCTGTCATTTTGTTGACAGGTGTTTCTGATTAGTTTACTCTGTTAATGTACAGCAGATAATTTTCCGCAATGTGTTTGTCATAAAAAACTTGTCAGCGTAAATGTGGCTTAAACAACGTCACCGAAGGTCGCGTTGTCTAATATAAACTAAACTGAACCGATGACATATTAATGCTTTTGACAGCTGCTTATAATCTCTTGTTGAAAATCGATCTTTTTTTTCTTTGAATAAAGGTTGTGTTTTGTACAGTAAATGGTTTGAAGCCGGGGGTAACATGTGGAAGTGTAGTCTGATCGTCCGGGTGAGTGTAGTCCTGAAAAGAACTGTTGTCGGTATTGGTGACCATGAGCAGAAGTCATCACCAGCCTCTGATGATGACTTCCACTCAGATTGTCGAAACGTCAGTCACTCCAACCGACCACAGTCCTTTTCAGAACTACACTCACCCGGACGATCAGACTACACTATGACATAGTATTTTGTGACTCAAAGATTTGTCGAAGAGAAGAAATCTTTTGTGTCAGAATGAATAACAAATGCATTTGCACTCAAATGGCGCCTTTGATAGACTTTCCACCGTCATCAAGAGCTCGGTCTTCTTTTGTCACGAACGCTGAACAATTTCACGAACTGCAGCTGGTTGTTAGCACTCTCCTTTTAAGGTAGCTAACTGATAACAATACCGTCTTTCGATAAAAAAAATTCAGTCATCTGTTTCATCTCATTTATCACCAGCGAAAATTGACCACAATTTCTTGCGACTGACGTTTCTATTGACTGACAATTTCTAGTGACTGACAAGACCATGAATTTTTTTCTAAAGTATTGAAAATTTTATGCCTAGCACGTTTCAATGAAATTTTTGTTTTTTACCTCAGTGCACTGGGTACGTCTCTGAATTTCTGTGAATGGAGACGAACGTAAAAGCAAGCCAGCTAAAACAGCGGTTGTATACCGAAAGGCGGCAAAAGCATCATCTTTCCCTGGCGCCATTTTCTTATCGTCCTCAATAATCACGAATGTGGCACTGACATCCTTCTTTTCAGCTAAGCTTTTTAACGGCAGTTCTTCGCTTTTCGTCCTCTCAAGCCTGTTTTGCTTGTACGCAGTAACCATAGCCACTTGGAAATATTTTGGACAACCGATTTAATCTTCTCAGCATACTATTTGGGGTAGCATTTGTACGTGTAACTGGGTTTAACCAGAAAAATAGGAAACGTCCAGTCTTCTCAAAAGATACAGAGACATTTTCCATTTGCCTCCGTTACACTATAATTATCACATGTATATACTTCTGCCTAGTAATAAATTTTTAGTATATGTCGAGTTATATTTACATTTCTTTAGATATTTCAAAACAAGCCGTACTCCTTTATAAAGAAAATATGAGGTTCATCTAAATTAAACTTTAAGATTCAGCACGAAGAAGAACACACTAAAGAATTACCACGTATAGGGCTCACCTAGATGAATAAATAAATAAATTACTGTAGAGAAAAACTATTTCAATGCGAATATTGATGAAAACTTGTTTTACCATGTAAATTGAACACGGCCCGTTAAGATGTTCTCGACTCTTGAAAACATTCACTTTCGAACATTTTCTTGGCTGTGAAACGTAACGCAGCCATGTGTATTCTTATCAAGTAGCTAAACAAGTTGGTATGTAAGAATTATAGCATGCTTCTCTAGATAGCGATGCTGTTTGGTATTTTCTCCGGAAGCAAATAGGTATAAGGAAACTTTAACTTCTCATTCCTTTTCTTTATTGACGCCGAAATTCTCTGAAGTTTTCCTTGGAAGCGCAAGATGGCCTCTCTGGCAGCCATGTCAGTGAAGGAGCTATCAGGGTAATCACCAAGGAAACGCTTGAAGGTAAGAAAAGAATATCTACAATCAGCGTCAAAATTGGTTGACACATCATGTTTGAATGTTTGAAGAGAAATACCAGGATTTGTTAAAGAATATCAAGGTTATAACTTACCTCATCGGGAGAAATTCGAGTCAGATCGTTCACCGTCGCTATAGCAACTCCTGCCTGGTGCTTGGTGGGAAGAGTCTTCATTATGTCTTTCATGGTCACTGTGCCTTTTTCCTTTGGAGGCGGCTGTCTCATGAGGCCTGGCGAATTTGGCGGGAAACCGAGCACGTCCATCTGCGAGAAGTTTACAGCTGCATGTTGACAAGAGCAAGTAAAGATAACAATAGTTAGTATGTGAGCCAGCTGCTCAGCGCTTGCAATAGACGATGGGAAGCCATGGTCCGTCTCTCCTTCGCGGACTGTGTAGCCATTGTCATGAATGTCGAGGATCCACGCCTGGAGTTCTGTATCCTGGCAGAGAGAAAAGTCACCGTTGAGTAATGATAAATTCTTGAATATGCATTTCGCGATTTCCTGGTTTTCCAGATAAAACACTTCTCACCTTTTGAATAACCTCATCTAATGGGTAATAGATGGATACAATCCTTGTGACGAAATTCTTGATGGCCTGCCATAGTCGCAAGGCATCATCACGATAGTGGAACCCAGGTAGTTTGTCTGGATCGTCCACTCCTCTCTCCTTTAAGACATTTGGCAGGTCATACGACGACCACTTCATGTTCTTGTAGTACTTTTTCATGAGATCAATATGACCTACAATGGACATTAAACTGAGCGTTATGAAAACGAAGTAACCTTTTGGTATCCTCTGAAATCATTACAAACTTTTTCGTACAAGTTGCTGCATGAACGGATGAAGAGATCTGGTTTACAAATATACATTGCCGAATAAAAATCTTCCAATGATAACGAAACAAAAAACAATATTAAAAGCTTTAAATATTGGACAGCTCATCTGAAATGTAACATGAATGGTAAAGTAAAGGACTCTTAAAAGCCGTCTTAACAAAGGTTTCGTCAAAAAGGTGTGCGATACGTTGAATTTTTGGGGCGTAAATATTCATTCAGGAAGTTAGGAGTTCTGGCAATATCCACAGACGGAGCTCCCTTACCTCCACCTCCTATACTAAGAGTTTGATCCACTACACCTCCAGCTGCAATGAGCCTTGCTCTCCCAAGGGTATTGATGGCCATAACTCCCTTCAAATGAGGGACCAATAGTTTCCACAGTGGGTGAAGAGAGGGAAGTTGTCTCCAGCTGGCGAGAGCGAGTGGCTCCATGAAGAAATGAGTGCGAAGAAGATGCGCAATCGTCTAAAGAGAACGTAAAGGAAGGGGTGTTGGGCAAAATCAATTGGCAGGGGAAGGGAGGGGATAGTAACAGAAATCCTTATCATCTTTAGTGTTAAAAATCGTAAGTATGGTATTTACAATCATCATCATCATCCTAACAGATCGCTGGAATAGTTTATATCTGTGCATTAAGAGACGCAACGCTAACCAAATAGAATCTATCCGGAGAGGTAATGTATCCACCTATTCTGGATTTCTATAGTTGAGATCCTTAACTTGAAAACTTACTTGATGCCACTGCATGTCAGCATTACGCAGCCACATCTTGGCGTAGGTCCAGTCCAATTCAGAGTCATTAGGGGTCCATAATGGGTTGGTCACGTCAGGTCCCTGGTGAAGCTGAATTGCGATGGGAACCATATCTCCAGTGCCCTTGACATAGAACAAACCCATCGCCGCACACGTATAGCGCGTCTCTAAGTTTTCATCTAAGAATCCATAAGATAGGATGCCATCAAGAATGCTGAAGTCGACCATATAAACACGCCCGTCCTTATTGAAAATAATTTAAAAATGAATAATTAGGAAGAAAACAACAGAGCTTTGCACGAGCTATGAACATGAAAAGGTTATATTCGATCAAATAGGCTGTAATAATAATAATAACAATAATAATTGACCACTCCCCAAATGGGACTTTCAGGGCCAATACAAAAAAATTGTACATAAACACAGGGTTAAAAAATTCCAACTGGCGGGAGACAGACCAGTTGGCTATAGACAAGGCGTAGCCACGAAGTTGAGCTCAGGCAACCTAAAACAAATCCGGTGGGTAACAGGGTGAAGGGCATGAAACCGGGACCACCAGGTTACTAGCCCAGCGCCCCAACCACTCGGCCACATTGCTTCCTTAGTAAATCAGTCATACGCATGTGTGATTATTCGATCGTTCGATCGTGCATTTGGTCTATCGGTCGTTATTTTTTCTCGTCGTCCCTAAGTTTCGTCGTCAGTCTTCTGGTCACACAGTCACTTCGTGAGTCTGTCGGTTCGATCATCCATGGATGCAAATGAACAGTTCCGAACAGTTTCATGTGTAGGTATATTTACCTTCATTGCTTTCTCCAGAGTGTCATCAACATCAAGAAGGTTTCCAACCAATTGCTGTGTCACGGGAAAGTTGTAAGGTAGTTCCGTACATCGCTTGATCGTTTCAGGGTTACAGCCATTCAGGAACTGTGCCCCGTAGAAGCAGTCATCCTGCCAGTGGTCGGCAGCCATTGGAACATCACCAACGAAAGAAACAAACGCCTGCAACAAAATGGACTGCTGTAGATTTCCTTGTTAAGGTAGCACAACTCACTTATTTTCCCATCAAATGCACAACCTTCATGGATAAACGTTTTCACCTAAAATGTTTGTTGAAGACGCTGTGCAAAGAAAGTCCTGCAGCTTGTTGAGAGATTTCTTTTGTATTATCAAGCTTTTCTATGAAAACATATGAAACGCACATGGAACATGCTTTGACAACCCAAACACACACTTGACAAAATTTCAAAAGTTCCCTCATAGGACCTAACGGATAAAGTAAAATTAAACAAATGCATACCTTACGGTAATCATCGAAGTCTTCCCAAGAATCGAAGATATTCAATAACTTTATTAAACCAAGATTTACTAGTGCTTTATTTCTGGCGGTATGAAGGTCATCCACAGCTTCCTCTGTAAATTGGACATCTTTGGGGAGCTTTTTCCAGTGCTCAGACTTGACATATCCTGGTAAACCGTGGTTCAAAGGATCTTCTCCCCATTGAAACAGTTCTTGCCTCTGTTGAATTTCGAGTCGCCTTTGGCTTCGTATCACTTCGTGCTGCTCATCTGTGACTAGAAGGGCTGGAGGAAAGTCAGAAGGCATTCTTTTAATCTGTCCTCGACCTTGCTTCACTTTCAACACTCTATCATCGATAGAGGCATGAAACATTGACTAAGGAACCTGTCATTATTCATCGCCTGGGGGGAAGGGGGGGTTGTGTTACGATCAAAATTTACTTCACGCCCCCTCCCACCATAGGATTCTGTAACACTGTTATGATCCCCCTCCATAGGAGTTAATCGGGAATCAATTTTCCATTGCCCCCCTATTGGCGCTGTTGGCAAAGACTAATGCTCCCTCCATCCCCCCTGAAAACCATGTGGTCCTCCAAAAATCCCCCGACCCCCTCCAGGCGATAAATAAAAATGCTCCCTAAAGAGGGTTCATTTTATTTATCAGTACTGTGGAGATTTATGTCATCATTAACTTCGTACCTTTTCCTGTAAAGAAGATGGATTCACTCTGCACCCATCGAAAGCAAGGAAATTCATAAAGCTTTTGAGGATTTTGGCTGCAGGTAATCATGATTTTCTCCACGAACCAGTCACTATACAAACCACCCTGATCATTGTGTAACTTAATCATCAACAAATCTCCGACATCTTCAGCTGCCAAGATATACGTATCGTCTTGTCCAGCCTTAAAGTCGTCATGGAGCCATTTGTCCATCAAAAGAGGTCTTGTTCTACCTCTACTGCCTAAATACGATTTCAAAAGAGTCACTCTGAGTCAAATACAATGGAGTCCATCATTTCGCTCCATAACTGAAAAGATAACTGATTTGTCTGAGTGCAGATCTAAATGGGAATAAGTACCTTCTGATGGCTTTGGTGATCTATCCAAGTGTACCTTTTAACAGCACTGACAAGTCATAAAAAGTATGGGTCTAGGATCTTCTTAAACAAGACCGTCATCATTGCATGCCTATGACGTGACGAGTTCAGTCAGCGGCTGTGAAGTAGGGAACAAACCCACGAAAGAGTAGACTAAATAAAGAATCTCGATTGGTTTTAATGCCACTCAACCCGAGCTTTCTCTTCTCTGGGCCGGGTTTTTCAAAGCTGGATTAAGATACTCCAGGGTTAGTGCGAAATCTGATTTCAGAACTGATAGCTTTAAAACAAGATTCAGTCGGATTCTTTTTGTCTAGAATACGACTATTTGATGCTCTAAAAAGAACACAAGAAATTATCCTAAGAATGCTTTTGAATAAAGGAATGAAAAACTCAGATTACGGTTTAATCTTGGGTTAGCGCTAATCAGCCTTCGAACAACTGGGCCCTGGATTCTAAAATGGAAGATGGTAAACACTCTCGAATTTTTCGGTATTAAGAATTATCGTCGTAGCGTCTCATCGAGGGTGCATGTCGTCCCATATATTCAGTTTGCATACAATTATCCGCTGATCAACGATCTATCTGGTGGACTAGATATGCTCGTATCTTGGAAATAAAGAAGTCATACCTGTGATTGTAAGGGTTACATCGGCGTTGGTACCAGCATGTTTTCGGTCTCCCGTGAACACAGAAATGCAGTAGATGGACATATCTCCCTCTGATTTAGAAGTCTTCCTTAAAGAAAAGCTCTGCTTTTTAGGTCGTGATTGAAGTTTCGACTTTAAATACGCCATGGAATTATAGTCGTAGATGGTCTTGGCAGAAGGGAGTGACAAAGACCCACACGGTATATTTTCTAATGAACAACGGGTTCCCTTTGTTACATCCTCTGGTAAAAGTGACGTCAACCTGACTTCGGCGAGGTCTAGCCAAGGGTGAGTTGCTTGGTCCCAGACTCGAGCCGCGTGAAGCACAAGATGTGAGTCGTCGGGTTGTTTTTCATGTAGTTGTATTTGAAGTTTGTATTGAACGCCACCTTCTGACATACGCTCTTCAAAATCAGCAGTTAAATAGGACTTAGGTCTCCTATCACCCTCCCATCGAAATGTTTCCCTACAGAAAAACAAGAAAAATAAACTAAAAATTCCTATAGCTGGTTTCATGGTAGATTTTGGAGATCAGCCAGACAAGCTAACTAGCACCTCTAGTATCAGTTTCTGCGACCACATTGACCACTACTATCATAATGGTAAAAAAGCAAAGCAAAACAAAACAAACAAACGAGCCGTGGGGAGCAGGGACACAAGAAAAATCATTGCGATGGCAGTAATTTGCCGGTTTAGTAGTCATAAAATTGTTTTTGACGTACACTTTTTTTTTTTTTTTTTAAGAAATTGACATACCTAGCTGCGTTGTTATTGTGCAGGAGTCTGGCTCAGAGGTTGCGGATTTACGCCTTTCCTGGGTCATTGTGCTGAGATCTCGGGAAAGACAACGTAGTCTTACGGTGCCTTATGCTTCCCAAAAGTTCAAATTGGTTCATACCGGCGCACTTACTGCTAGAGAAAACTAAAGAAATCCTGAGCATACGCTCACCGAAAGTTCGCTTAGCATTTCTTCAACAATGTTCATAATTTTCCTCTCGCAGCACAACTAATCGCTTAAAGTGAAAATTGGATAAACTACTAGTGTACATGTTACTTGACCCTTTTATGATTTTTTCTCTGGGCTGAATTAACTAAAAATAATTCCTCTTTGGGAATTGCCGAGAATGAACAACAGGTCCTACCAAGGTTTTCTTTGCTCTTCTTCTGTCATAAGTCCAGTTTCTTCTCTATCATCAGCAGGGACGAGGCGAAATTTGGCGTAGCGAGGCACACCGTCTCTCGCTTTGTATTCAAACGCCATCCACGAGTAATACCTCTGGTCAGTAAATGATTCAGGAGCTCGACGAAATGCAGCAATGGTTAAGTAAAAGCTGTATTTGAAGAAGCAGATAAGAAACGGAAATTCATGAATTGCGGTACTTTTAGCTTGTAGCTGTTTAATTACTTGGCGGCAGATGCAAGAAAAAAAAAGCCTGTTTCGGGCACTCAGTTTTGATTACAAACAAAAAAGCGGATGGCTCTCCATTTTTGTTTTTGGATCTTTTTGAAAAAGGTAGTAAGGCTACTCAATAACAGGGAATCCAGTCTTGTGGCCGCATATGTTTAATACAAAGATCTCAGGACAGATCGGAAGTTGGAATTTATCGAAAGACTTCTCCCGAGCGTCTTGTGAATAAATTGAAAATGAAATATCGTATCTCATTTCTTTCACTTAAATGCGAGCTAGCTCAAAATCGAATCAAATTTTGTGTCCATTTCGTACAACGAAACTTTTATGATAACAGGTCAATTACACTTCCCTTTCTCCAGGCATTTATCTTTTAAGTAAAGTTTTCTTTTATTTTGGTACGATATGTGAACAGATAATGTTGCCACTTACTGCCATGGGTCCTCCAAACAATATGTCGCAAATGTTTCTGTCTCACCATACAACGCACTAAGCATCTTGTCTAAGCTATAGAGGCTCCAATACGCAGCCTCCTCACCAGTATGTAACAACAGATCAAAAGGTGATTCGAAGTCACTATCGGCAAACTTGAGAGCCGCTAGTCTCACGTCTAATTCGGCATCGTCTACCTTGATAAGATTACAGTGGAGGAGGCGGGCTGGAAACACCCTTTCTGCAGAGAAAAAGTCGTGCGCAGGGAGGAGAGGGTTGTTGAGGACTGTTACAACTCCAGTGGCTCCTACACCTCTTGTTTGTTGTGTCAAGAGTGTCTTGAGAAGGAACCCGGCTTGATACTTTTTAACATAAAGGGCCAACTGCGACGCACTGAATGGCCCAGCTTCTGGTGGAGGCTGTAAAGGGAAGCAAGTACAGAACTAGTCTCTAACCTTTATCTAAAACAAAATTCGTTCACTATGGAGATTAAATGAAAACTTAAACATTATCCTGGAGAATTGCTAGACACTCCTGATTATATCCCTTCACAAAAACCATTCCTAATGTTTATTTGTAATCGATGACGATTACAAATAATAGCGGTAACTCTATCGTCGATGTTAACGAGTATGATATGGATCAAGGACAATTACCAAACAAATATAATGATAGCAATGATGAAAATGTTTCATCTCTGAGGTGAGATCGGACATTAAAGGCATAAAGAACTTGATTACCTCGTCTGCCTCTACCATCATTTTTTCAAATAATTCCGGTCCCATCATTTCCTTGACTATCTTGAATCCCATGTTCTTCCCTATTTACATTGTAAAAAAGCACAAATTAGTCAAAGAAAACATAAATCATGCATAATTTAAACTCAGACAGGAGATGAACAGTTCTTGTTTACTTACAGCCTTCTGGCTCCTGATTTGTTTCAACTGTTGGTCTCTTGATGGTTTGATTCACTCTTTTCTTTTTTCTCTTTGATGGAATAATGCCCATGTTTCTAAACAAGTGTTTTTTTTTCTGGTAAGTGATAGAATAAAGAGTCAATGCCGAGTATAAGAGGAATGCTTATGCATGTGGTGATCCTAGTCGACCAGCCCTATTCTTAGTTACGTTTGACCCCGTAAGCTCTTGCTCCCCATTTGAGACAGCTTTCGAGACTGAGTATTTTGACCACAAACGCAGTACAATGACCCGGCCAGAGACACCAAGCCCGGAAATTTCGATCCTGAGTCCCACCTTTCCCGATGTTTTAGGTTAATTGGTACGCATTCGGTGAAGGTTTTGGTCGCCTTTGCAGCTTTTGATGCTAATATTTCCGGGACGAAACGTCCATTGTTCTCACGAAGTGTTTTAAAGAGCGCATCCAACATTGGAAATGTAAACGTAATAACATAGCCTGCGCGGCAGAGAGGGTAAATCTGCCAGCCGCGCGCTCCTTACCCCTTACCCCACCCCTCCCCCCTCATCCCTTATCATCTCCCCGAGCGTGTCACTCAGGCGAAGAATAATGCATTTGTGAAGCTAATCGTCTTCATCATTTATATTTGTCCAAGATTATCATACCGATGGTTTATTTTGGATATTGAAAGTCGCTCGGGATTTTAGAGGTAACTTAACGCATTCAAATATCATTAAAGTGTACTTTTATCCCATCTTTTTCTTCTAATCAAGCTGAAGAACGTTTCTTTCATAAGAGACATCGCTTTCCTTACATTCAAAGTAAATTTCAACTCAGTAACTAGCGATGTAGGAGCGCATATTAATGACTCCTTCTACAAGCCACCCGAAGTCATTAATATGCCTGCATATTCACGAGAGGACTTGTATTTTGAACACTATTAAGAACTAAAGGTTAGCTGTAATAATAAAAAAGGGCTAACGCTCAACACGTCAGCTTTGAAACTCTTTACGGTGCCCAATTTACGTAATCAACTGTGTCGACAATGCTAGTATTACCCTAGTATACTCTCCCACCGACGCAGCACCACAGTTTCTTCAGAAACTTACTCCCTTAATTCATTTGTAATAATCAAGACATGCTCTAAAATCTTCATCGACGGAAACGTTAAAAAAATAATGAAACGTGACAATTGTCACACAACTCTTTCAAAAATCAATCCGTTTCCATGATATTGGACTCCCACTGAAACTAAATTTTCATCGTTTCGTATAAATATAGCACTTAGCCCGCTGGCAGATTGAAATAGAACAAAGCTAGTGAAGTAAAAAAACCATTTAACGAGCAGATACAGCTTACGGTCAAACAACGCGAAATAACACAATTATGAAGCATCGGAATGGTGTGCTCATTACCAGTTCGCACAATGATTGTGGAGTTTGCATTTCATCATTGGTCCTGGTGAAAGGCCGGTCAGAAACATTGCACAAAACATGTCTGTAGCAAATACACTACTTGATACAATATACTCACCTGCTATGAACCTGTGAACGATATCTTGCAAATTCCCTCAATATTTATTTCCCATATCGATCACTGCGTCACTTGTTGCTCTTGCCCTGACGTCAAGTGACAAAGAACTCAGCTGTTGCCTAGAAACAAAGACCTAAAGCTGTTTATAATGCCCTAAGGGAACTTAACACCTCTGCATGTTACTTTGAGATCACTGAGCCTTTGCTAATTGTACCGTGGAAAGCGTTCGTGTCTAAACATTTTAAAAATATAAAGGGACGTATTCTTAAGGGCTTAACTCATCCATAAATCTCTAATCTCTCTTTATTCAATAATAATGATGAAATTTAAAACCTTTTTCTTTCATGTTACGTTTCATGTTTCCCCGACAGCGCTTGGCCAGTGGTTGCGAAAACAAATGTCTGTCTGAGCTAAGCTAAGTAGCACCAATACAATGTATAATCCGACACCAGTTTCGAGTACTGTATTATAAGGCACTTGGCTTTGTAACCGTAAAAAAATCCACGATCAAAACAGCAGCTTAAAATTGTGACAACTTACTTCGCGCTTCTTGTCATTGACGTGATCCTACGATTATTTTTGTAATTCTAGCTTAGGCCCACGAATTGACGTTTAGACATCGAAGATGTGACGATATCTTCATGTCATAAATTTCAAATGCTGTATCACGCAATGAAGGCCGAGAGACGTATGGCTTACGTCACTATTTGTACACTGTAAGCGGAGACGGCAAAGTTTTGTCGATGGCGATCATCAAAGTCCACTATACACAAAACGATCACACGATTTATTTCCACATTTCTTTCAAAATATCAAGGGCTGCAGCCAGGATGGATCATAATAAAATCTAAAACTTTTCCAAGCTGAATATTTATTCAAGAAACACGCTTTGGAGGTCTTTGGTTTTGCAAAACAAAAGCGAAAAACCTCTCTAAGAGCCGTTGAGGTTTACAAGATATTAACCCAAAGCCAATGACAGAATCTTCAATTGCTTCCTTTGTAAATGTATATGCCGCTGCGCTCACTCGTGAGCTATCGAGTTAAACACTCGAGGAGAAATTCCATATCTAGGCGCGCTCATATATCATTCTCTATTTCTCGCGGCTGAGAGGGAAAATCGGCAACTGGAAAATTTGCCACAGGCCGATTTTGGTCGTTTACCCGAAAGATTTCTTCTGCCGGTAAGGACAAAGTCAATAAATGAGAATTTTGTAACTTGAAAATTACGACCATTGTTGTTTTGTAATCCCGATTCATTTTTCCATCTTGAGACTTTGCGCCAACGCTTTGTATGATTGTCGATTCTTTTTTTTTTCATTTATTAAATCGGCTCTTCTTGTCACCACAGGGCTATTGTGTTTATATGATACGCAAAATAATACATGGTTGCTTGTAGATATAGAATTTCTCTGCTCGTGTTAAACCCGACATTTCACTAATTCGCTGCGCTCACTCGTGAGCTATCGACTTAACATCGAAGAGAAATCCCATATCTACGCCTGTACATGTATTATTCTCTATTTATTGTTACTCTTTTTAGTGTTTTGTTTCTTTTTATTACGCAAAATTATGTTCTTATAAACTAATTCAGTTCTCTAAATTTATCATCAGAGCCAAACTAGTAGACGAACTTCCGTCTTAGAATTGATGACTTAACAATTAACCCTTTAACTCCCAGATCAAATTTGTTATTCTCCTTACTGTCAACCATACAATTCGTATAATGTTAGTTCAGAGAATTTAGTATTTGATCAACTAATTATCCCTAAATTGATCTTCTTCTTCATTCTCATCACTTATCTGGTTGATGTTGTATAGACATTGCAAGGAAAAATTCTGTCTTGGTTACTCATGGGAGTTAACGGGTTAACCCTTACTGCCTCTTGCCACTGGGAGAGAAACTCAGCTACACAGGCAGCATCGAAGTGCACCAGTCATAATTGTTGAGAACCAACTATACACGATTTGCAGTCGAAACGTCGAAGCGCGATCCTCATCATTGGAAAAACGATATAGAAAACTCGTTGCTTCATCGAGTCTCTTATTCTAAATTTATTTTTCTACATTTCTCGGATTAAATCATCAAGTTGATGCGACTTGGATCATCGTCGGATGTTTATTGGTTAATCATTTATCCTTGAAAGAGAACATCAACCTTATATACTGAGAGAGTACAAGTACATGGTCCAAATGGCACATACGAAAAACTTGACTCGGGATTCATATCATCGGAGAAATAGCATTCTGGAATCGTTCATTCGATGCGCAGTTCAATGATATCCAGGGTACTTCTGAGAAGTATTTCCTGTCTATTTCACACTGGAACCCATATCTGGGTGTTAATGATATGTGAGTATCTTGGCGGAACCATGCCTAAATAGCTATACTGTTTGGTATTCTTTCCGGAAGTAAATGAATGTAAGGAAACTTCAAAGTATCATTCCTTTTCTTTATGGACCTTGAAATACGATTAAGTTTTCCTTGGAAGAGCAAAATGGCCTCTCTGGCAGCCATGTCAGTAAAGGAGCCATCAGAGTAATCACCAAGGAAACGCTTCATAGGAAAAAGAGAGAGATAAATGCACTTGTTAATACGATAACCTATACGCAAAAATATAACTCAGTAAGATAAATACGTGAAGTGTGTATCTATTATCTGAACTCTGGCTTGAGGGGAAAACTGAAAACTATAGGGATGGCTATTTCGACAAAATCTAACTTAGGCCGCAGTTTTAAAAAATCGATGAACCTCGAGATTTACTTTTGAGTAGGCTGTCTGAAGTGAATAAATATTTTCAGTCCATCTATAAAACTGTTCCCATCATAAGTTCAGATTAAAAAATATGGCCTAAAACACAGGTTTACTAAACAACAACTCAAGTCAATTTTAAATGACCGCATATGATGCTTCAGCTTTAACTGTAACAGTGATTGGCATGACAACTTGAAAAAAGAAATTTATATTTTTATTGTGTGATAACTACACAACAGGAAAAGTAATAGAAAAGTATAGTTTTGGGACAAAAGTTCAGATATTTCTTACCTCATCAGGAAATATGCGTGTTAGATCGTAGACGGTCGCTATAGCAACTCCTACGTGGTGCTGGTTGGGCAGGCTTTTCATAACGTCTTCCATGGTCAGTTTGCCCTTCTCTGTTGGAGGAGGCTGTCGCATGAGAGTAGGTGCATTGGGAGAGAAGCCATACACGTCCATCATAGAAAAGTTGACGGCTGCGTGTTGACAAGAGTAGGTAAATATGACAATAGTAAGTAGGTTGGCCAGCTGCTCAGAGCTTGCAACGCACGATGGGAAGCCATGGTCCGCCTCACCCTCCCGGACAGTGTAGCCATTGTTGTGAATGTCTTCGATCCACGCTTGGAGTTCTGTGTCCTGTTGGGAAAAAAGGCAGCATGGAGTGAGAGTGTATTTTAGAAAAGGTTTCCAGCTCTTTCTTACTTTCTGAGATAAAACACTTCTCACCCTTTTGATATCCTCATCTGATTTGTAATAAATCGATAGCATCCTTTTGACGAAGTCATTTATGGCCTGCCATAGTCGCAAAGCATCGTCGCGATAGTGGAATCCTGGAAGTTTGTCTGGATCGTCCACTCCTCTCTCCTTTAGGACATTTGGTAGGTCATACGATGACCAATTTATGTCCTTGTAGTGCTTTTTCATGAGATCAATGTGACCTAAAACGGGAAAAATGAGCAGATTATTATAAAACATGATAAACAAATACTGGCAATATTCACATTGTAACCCAGGAATGTTGGAGCAATAATGGATTTGAAATGCATGCTTACCATTTCATATGTTGGAGAATATTGTAAAAAAAAAGACGATGAATAGAAATGTAATCTCAACAGACAACCAGAAAAGCTGATTTGATATATAAGGTTAAAAAATTGCTCATACAATGAATGTTCAGCCTTTCGTATAGGTGACGTGGTAACACTTGAAATTATGATTTTAATTTCATTCATATGATATGCGTGAAATTTGAAAGATGATATGAAAGGTGTAAAATAGGGGGGAACAAATTATGCGGGAGACCCAGACAGAAAAGGGACACCAAAATGATGGCCGGGTGACATTCACAGAAGCATTTTACCTCCGCCTCCCACACTAAGTGTGTGATCAGCCACACCCCCCGCAGGAAGCAGTAATTCCCTTGCAACGGTGTTGATGGCCAAAACTCCCTTTATGTGAGGTATCAGTAGTTTCCATAAAGGGTGGACGGAGGGAAGCTGTCTCCAGGTTGCAACAGCGATCGGTTCCATGAACAGATGAGTTCGAAGAAGGTGAGTGATCATCTGCAAAAGAAAAATGTTTACAAATTTTAGGAAGGTTACTAAGTTTTTTTTGCAAAATTTTGTGTAGTCGCCTAAAACGTATGTTTAAACAAGCACTTATAAGTAAGGTAAATCTTGTACAGTGAACTGAGTTGAGATTCATATCTTCAAGTACATGTGACTCAATTTTCTTGTTTTACTTTGCAGTGTTACTTTCTATAGTGTTATTATCTTTTTCAGTAAAACTTTTGAATATGCAAATGATACATAAGAAACTACTTTTGAAGTGAGAATAAAGAAAAAAAATACATATTTGCGACTCCGAACTGTTATGGCTCTGGAAAATGACAACCTGCGCGACGATATGCCTCGTTTAATTGTGAACCTGTGAAGTTTTCTCTGTTATGTCACTATTATTTGCTCAGGCTCTATTGCTGTGTTTTTTTCTTCTTCTTTGTTCTTCGTCACTCGCGAACGTGACAGGATCATACACGTAGGGTTGGGTAGAAATGTTTTGTAATCTTTCACCTGGTTGCAAATGTCGTTTTAGATCCGGAAATACTCACCTGATGCCACTGAACGTCTGCAGTGCGCAACCACATCTTAGCGAAGGTCCAGTCCAACTCGGAATCATTTGGGGTCCATATTGGGTTGGTCTCATTCGTTTCTTGGTGGAACTGAATTGCTATGGGTGCTATGTCTCCAGTGCCCTTGACATAGAACAACCCAAACGGCGCAGATATGTAGCGCTTCTCTAAGTTCTCGTCATTCCAGCCGTAAAGCTTGATGTCCTCAAGGATCTTGAAATCAACCATGTAAAGACGACCTTCCTGAAATGTATGATAAAATTGAAAAAGAAACACTCACGCACAAAACGTCAGTCTTGAATTGGGAACACAAACTGAAGTTTGTTTTAACGAGAGTCACTCGGCTTTTTGGGTCAATAACCCGTCGGTACGTATATTCTTCCGAACGTCCGTCTATTCGTGCTTACATCTTCCGTTCGTCCCTCCTTTCCTCGCTGCCGTTCGTCCATCAGAAATCAATTGAAAAAAAAACACTTACTTTCATTGCTTTCTCTAATGTATCACCCTCATCAAGAAGGTTGCCAATCAGCTCTTGTGTGACGGGGAAGCTAGGGGGGAGTTCAGTACATCGTTTGATTGTATCAGGGTTGCAGCCATTCAGGAACTGCGCTCCGTAGAAGTTGTCTTCTTGCCAATGGTCGGCGGCTTGTGGAACATCACCAACAAAAGCGACGAACGCCTAGATAAAAGTCGACCTCCTGCTAATCAATCGAATTTCACTTGTAACACGTTTAAAATTCTAGTCTAAAACACGAAGAGAATTTTATTATTGGTTTTCGTATAAGATCTCGCATTATTTTTTATTAATATTATGTCAGATTAAAGAGTAATTACTGAAATATACGGACTTAAAGATTAACAGAACCTCCCGCGGGTGTCTCTTTACAGTTAGATAAAAAGGAAATGCTTAGAGATCTCTTTGACGATGAATCCGACTTTGAATTGTATCATGCCTAAACCTACCTTACGGTAATCATCAAAGTCTTCCCAAGAATCGAAGATATTCCATAATTTTATCAAGCCAAGGTTTATTAGAGCTTTCTGTCTGGCTGTGTGAAGGTCATCGGCGGCTTCAGTGGTAAACTGGACATCTTTAGGTAGTTTTTTCCAATTTTCAGACTTGACATATCCAGGTAAACAGTGAAATACAGGATCGTCTCCCCACTGGAACAGTTCTTGTCTCTGTTGAATTTCAATTCGTCTTTGGTTTTGCACTGCTTCATGCTGCTTCTCTGTGACAAGTAACGCTGAAGTAGATTAAACAACACCAACCATAAAGAATTGTGATATATATTTGTTGTATTCTAGAGTAATAGGGATTTTATTTAATCACAAGAGTTGCAGCGCGCGAAGAGCGCTTAACTAGGTATCGAGTTATGCCATAAACGATGATTGTGCCCCGTCAAAGTCAGAGTGGTAAGTGTGATTGTGATATGATGTTTGTAATTCCCTTTTCGTTTATCCGTCTATAATACGATTAGGGATCCTCATCATGTTATACCACGTGTCTACGCAAAGATCTGTTTGATCGAGTAAAACAACTAAGTTGCAAACAACTTAACAACTAAGTTGCAATTTGCAGAAAATACCTTCCGCGAATACCTCATGCAAAGAAAAATCGACAATACACTCCAAATTTCTACTTTTCTTTAGGGCCGTTAAGGTTTGTAATAACCTCCAAGGGATGAAGCCTTGAAAGATAAATGTAGAGAAACACCCAAGAAACAAATTATATTGAGACAGTTTTTGGCTAGAGATGATAAGAAGGGTTGAAAAAATAGAAATTCTTGAAAACTTGAGTTTTCATTCTTGACAAGCATGGCCCTCGGCGAAGCTCCTTTGAAGTTGCAGTTGTCCCAAATTTACCGAAAAATCTCAGCGATATCGTTGTCAAAGTTATCCTTTCATACAACCCTGAACAACATGGTTGCTTCCATCAACACTTACCTTTTCCTTCGAAGAAGACGGATTCACTCTGTACCCACTGAAAGCAAGGGAATTCATAAAGCCTCTGGGGATCTTGGCTACAGGTAATCATGATTTTCTCCACAAACCAGTCACTTAACAATCCACTTTGATCATTGTGTAGTTTAATCATTAAAAGCTCCCCAACATCTTCTGCAGCAAGGAGATAAGTATCTTCTTTTCCAGCTTCAAGATCGTCATGGAGCAATTTGTCCATCAAAAGAGGTCTTGTTCTTCCTTTGGTTCCTTGGAAAACGTTTTTTTAAAAAAAGCTATTATTGCAGTAATCATAGACATTTTACCATTCTAAATATCAAACGTTAGTTCATCTTTGCCTTCAGAGAGGGTGAACTCTGAATTGTAAAGTATTTTTCCATTGCATAACCGTGACAATAGATTTAATGTGAAGAAAGTGCAATGTTTGAATTCAGTCTTACCTGTGATGGTGAGGGTTACATCGGCGTTGGTACCAGCATATTTTCGATCGCCAGTGAAAACTGAGATGCAGTAAATGGACATATCTTCCCCGGTTTTCGAAGGTCGCCGCAGATTCAATTTATTGCTTGAGCCAGATTGTACTTTTAATTTCAAGTACGCCGAGGAATTGTAGTCGTAGATAGTCTTGGCTGGTGGCACTGACAAAGATGAGGGCATATTTTCTAACGAAGAGCGTGTTGATTCAGTTACGTCTAATGGTATAAGTGAAGTCAACTTGACGTTAGCTAAGTCCAACCAAGGGTGAGTGACTTGGTCCCAGACTCTAGACGCGTGGAGAACAAGATGTGAGTCCTCGGGTTGTATTTCATGTAGTTGTATTTGAAGTTTGTATTGAATACCACCGTCTGACATGCGCTCTTCAAATTCAGAAGTTAGATAATCTTTAGGTCTCCTATCTCCCTCCCAACGGAATGTTTCCCTACAGAAAAGAGAGGAGAAGTAAGTTAAGAAATGATTGATTCTCTTGTTTAAAGTTAGCCGAGCTCTGATTCATTCGTTCCAGTACAAGCTTCTAAGACTGATTGATAATGACCATACATCACACTTTTTAGTATGATTACAAAGAATGGACAACAGGTCCTACCAAGGTTTTCTTTGCTCTTCTTCTGTCATAAGTCCAGTTTCTTCTCTATCATCAGCAGGGACGAGGCGAAATTTGGCGTAGCGAGGCACACCGTCTTTCGCTTTGTATTCAAACGCCATCCACGAGTAATACCGCTGATCAGTAAATGAGTTAGGAGCTCGACGAAATGCAGCAATGGTCAAATAGAAGCTGTATTTGTAAAAACAGAAAAAAAATAACTTTCTAAATTTCATTTGACCAACTCTTTGTCTTTTTGTGTTACTGGCTTAGCATGTAGCAGCCGGCGTCGTGAGCATTCTGAAAACAATTTTGGGTTATTATACTTTTGGGTCATCAGTGTTTTCACATATTTTACATTGATTGCACTTACTGCCAAGGATCCTCCGCACAATAGGTCTCAAATGCTTTTATGTCTCCATTCAACGCACTAAGCATCTTGTCTAAGCTATAAAGGCTCCAATATGCAGCCTCTTCGCCAGTATACAAAAACAGATCGAAAGGTGATTCAAAGTCACTGTCGGCAAACTTGAGAGTCGTTAATCTGATGTCCAATTCGGCATCGTCCATCTTAACGAGATTACAGTGACGGAGACGGACTGGAAACACCCTTTCTGCAGAAAAAAATTCGTGGGCAGGGAGGAGAGGGTTGTTTAGGACTGTTACAACCCCAGATGCACCTACACCTCTCGTCTGTTGTGTAACAAGTGACCTGAGAACAAAGCCGGCTTGAAACTTTTTTACATAAAGTGCTAATTGTGACGCACTGAACGGTCCAGCTTCTGGTGGAGGCTGTAAAGGGAAGCAAAAACACGACATCAGTCATGCTTACAAATCACGGTTATATTTGGAGAGGCCTTAAACACGAACAACATAAGAAGGTCGGTAAATCTAACATCCTGTAGTTGATTATAGAAAAACATGCTATTTTTCTTGCAAAGAACGTGCGGCACTGTTGATCCTAGCTGTATGCAGCTGCAGGGCATGTATCACATTTGAACTTAGTAATGGTTTAACTCATCACAGAGTTCTGTGTAGTTAAACGGTCACGCATCGCAACGCGGAAACCGCAGGTGCGGGGTTCTATTCCTTAAGAGAAGTCAGATTTGTTCCTTATCCCACTCCCGTCATGACCGTGACAAGACGGATAACCTTTTGCTGTAGTCTTCAATACTGGTGTTTAGTGTTTTGGATAATGTATGGGAAAAAGATTTCGATGAAACAACAAAAAATACAATAGCGAGAACAAAAACGACAAAAAATTAAACAGAGGGTAACCCTAGACGAAAATCGTTTCTAATTTTGATAACGATGATGGCGATTATGAATTATGAGGGTGACGTTAGCGATTGCGTTACCGAGACAAAAGCTATATTGATTATGAAATTTTGATGAAAATTCTATGAAAAAGTTCTTCACCTCGTCTGCCTCTGCCATCTTTTTTTCAAAAAATTCCACTCCCATTGATTCCTTAAATATCTTGAATCCCATATTCTTCCCTGTTGAAATACACATACAACTCCCAAAATTAGTTCAAATCGTTTACACTGGAAATAATAACATTTAGAGACAGCAAGAGAGGATAAATATGCTCTCTTTGAGACAGTTTTTTTTTCTCTACTTACATGGTTCTCGTTCTTCGCTTACTTCAATCGTCGGCCTCTTAATAGTTCCAATCACTTTGTTCTTCTTCCTCTTTGAAGGAATAATCCCCATCTTTACCCGGATATTCTGCTTTTATGTTATAAGTAAAAAAGATAACATTAGCTAATTTGTCATGATCTTGCTCAGTCCATGTTCCGTGGAATGAAGGGCAAAATAAAAGACGACAAACACGTTGCATGTTACTTTTACTTATGATTATATTTTCTAAGATTTAATCTGATATGAGGCCTTGCTACTTTCTCGAAGGCCTCCTTGTGAGAAGGAACGAATAAGTGATGGGGAATACCGCTGAAATTGCAATTGAGTGCAATATTCTTTTCACCATATGCTCTTTGTTTACTGGTGCATTGACTTTTTCGTCCAGCGGAACATCACTGATCAAATTGTTCAAAACAGGAATCTATTGTCGTGACGTGAGAAAGGAGAAAAAGCATTTGTAAGGCTAATTCGCCATGAAGCGTCAGGAAATAGCGCATAATTGATACTGAAACAACTTAAACGATATTTAAACGTTTCTTCATACAATAATAATAATAATACCATCAGTTTTTTTCATTTGCACTCGCAAAGTGAGCTCTTTGAACGTAATTTATGATTAAATTTGCTTACTATGGCTAAAGCGGCGCTAGTTCGCCCTCACGACACGTATTCGACTACAAAACTGATTCCGTTGTAATTTTCAAAACACATTGTAAGTTACAAGGACTTTAAAACTCATTTCGTCAGGTGGAGTCGGCTAAGCCTTGGGTCTCTCTTTTGAGTCATCTCATCTCGTTTCGTTTAACGGCCTGGTGATACATTGCTTCGCTGATGAAGTGAAACAATTTATTTATCGGACGACGGGAGCTGTCCGTGAGTTAAGACGAAATGTGCAGGGTACAGTGTCAAAATGAAGAGGGTACGAATTGCTCATAAGCAAGGTTAAAATCATTTGAGCTCGTGACGATAGACTAGTTTGTCTTGAAACATTCTACAGGACCCTTCGGCGACACATGCAAGTCGCAGCGCTTAACACGTACCTTTGAAACGTTTTCACCGTGTAGATCTTGTTGCTAAATTGTGTTTCTTTTCTTTGTTTATTCCGTCATGTCTTTGAATCTTTACACCCTCGTCTTTGGTTGTTTCCGTCACGTCATTTAAGATAAATACTGAAAATACGTGTTTCCTAGCGATAGAGACCCTCAGTAAACAAACCTGTTTAGTATGCCCTCGAGGAGCTTAATCAACTCTGCGTCTTTCTTTAGATCATTGAACCTTGACTAATTGCTCTCTTGTAAACATTCAAAAGTAAGATGGAACGCATTATTGAAGCTTAACACTCCTATAAAGACAAACCATAATACAAATTGATACAACTTAAAAAAATTTTCTCTGTCACGTTATCTTGCATTTCTTTTTCAAAATGCTCTTGCAGCAGTTGTGATTGCATAGCTTATGCTCTCTTGGTGCAATATTATCCGCGAATAAACTTTAAATATAAGTGAGCATTGTGTACTGTATTGCATTTGCATTCGCTTGACTGTTTATGTTGCGTTTATATGGTAATACTGTTGTTTATGACGCAATCCTCGGAATCTTTTCTTTGGATAACTCTATAGTTGTGCCCACGTACTGACGTCTGACGAGGACAATGAAGGCAGCGCGAGTTCTCTGATGATAACATATCAGTTATGTAATGAAGGACACTACTGTGTACCATGTGGGTGTTGTTGATGGCAACGGAACGTGCTATTCACATAATGCCCACGCTCAACTTCTTTCAGAGATTTCTAAATTATTCTCATTGCACAAAGTCCATTCAGTAATGCTGAGTAGCATTTCATACACAATTAAAACGGTTTATGAACTGAGTTGATCGAAGACCCAATCTATTTTGATTTTTGAACTTTTTATGCACTCTATTTGACCCAGTGCAGCCTCATCAATTTTCCTTTAACAAAGCCAAGAAAATTTTGAAAAGTTGCGTTGCTTTGATTCATTTGATTGTTGGTTGCACCCCAACGCGATGGAAAAATTTTAGATTTTTATCATGATTACCTCCACGGGGGGCTCAATTTTTTCCGGGTTTTTCTTTGATATCAAGAATGAATCTCGTTTTTTTTTACTCCCTTGGAAAAACTTTTTTTTTTTTTTTTTTTTTTCAGAAGTTGTCTTTAAAGACTATCTTTCAACTTACATACAACAGAGCCATACTAACTCTACGTAAAATCACTTACAATAATTACGATACTAACAATGTACTCGTTACTTACAATACTACCCCCCAGTTTTTCTATATATATTTATCAATACTCATGTTTAAGACTACTTAAAAATGATTTTTTTTTCTAATACTAGCTTGCAATACAAATTATACGATTCCTTCTCCACTTGCATTACGAATTTTAAATCAATAATTAGCTTACTCTACATACTAAACAATATTTACTTACACCAGGTGAGGCTATTACAATTTATGAGAGGTAGACTAGAACACAACACAGACACAATGCAGGTACTTCAGTTACATTTCGGAGCTCAGGTTCGTTACCAAAAAGAAAAAAAGAAGGTAATGCTGACTTTGAATGAGCTAACTACAATTTTTAAAATTTTTTTGAACCTCGTAGTTGATATAGGGAAAATCTTCTCAATTCTTTCAAAAGTTGTTTCGGCACGTATTGGGATGCAATTGGCGTACTCCAGCGGAAATTGTGCTGACCTTATAAACAATGCATATCTTCTGTTTACGTTTTGTAGTTCTCCAATACTAGTGAATGACAGAATGGTAAATCAATTCATTCTGAAACTTATGACCACATTTCACCGATGTGTCCACCATTTACGGGGGATCTGTTATTCACTTCAAGTGTATCACACTAATCGATTGCGTATTCCAGAAAATTATTGTAAATTTAATACATGATTAGCTGGCCCACAGACTATTATCGTATTGAGTTCATGTAGCTTTTTCTCTAAATTAGCTGTTAGTGAAAGTGCGAACGAGGAGGTGGAGTGGGGAGGAGATAGCGACAAAAAAAGTGAGTGCTCATGGAATAGAAAAACAATAAGAGGGAGAAGGGAACAGCGACAGGGTGCACTGAAATGAAAATGGTAAAATATGGAATGGAATGTGTGGATCGTGGAGTAGGAGGTAAAAAAAACAAGGAAAAGGAAATAGTAAGAAATCACTGGAACAAGAAAAGGAAACGGCGATCGAGCAAAGAGGATCAGCGGCTTTTTCAACGCGGGAGCTGAATTTTCCTGAGGGGCTTTGACCTTTTTTACGAACATGTTGACTTCTTTTTTACTCAGTTCCCCTGTTGAGGTGATAACCAGGCGGTGTGCGCGCACTGATGACGTTGCATCATGGTCGTAAAAGAAACAGGCAGTCATATGCATGTTGTCGTGGTCGGGTGAACATCTTTGATGACAGCGAAAAACTAGCGTGAATATACATGGAATGCAATGGGGATTCATCGTTTGTTGTCATTCCTTCGAAAGTTTAAAAGTGTTGATGGGCCTGCGCGACTCCTGTCATTCCACCGCGACGAATTCGTTCCTAGGAAGGAACTGACAAGATTCATAAAGAATTGAAACTGCAGAAATGGCAACAGTTACACTCTCAGCCGATAGCTTTATAAATAATATCAAATTCACAAATTACATTTCTAGACACGATTATTTCACGGGGAATCGACCCTTGACACGCAAACGCATAACATAAACCTTTTAGCCCACAAACTCTTTTTTTCTCGTGTCATTCACCGGGCGTCGGAATACGAAGTCCGTAAAAAAAGAAGCGCTACGCCTCTTGAGAACTAATTCGTCACGATCCATGTTTAATATAAACGCACAAAGTTTCAAAATACGCTCAAAGAATAGAGGATATCTAGATGAAGGTTTTGAGAAAAGTATCTTGAGTTATTTTTTCGCGAGATAGAAAGTACACTTAACAAAAACAAATTACATAGAAGAAAATATTACCTTTTGTAACACAATCTCATCTGGCTTATCCTAATAAGCGCTTAAATTGAAGGAAGCAGATTTAAAAGCGCTAGCGAATGGCAGGAGTTGCTCTGGCCAGTCAAACACCTTTCTTAAACGCTTGACTGGCTTACCGGGCGTGTCTACTTGAGCAATGTTGAGTTACTCATTCGGTTAAGTGACTCCTTTCATTGCTGATTCAATTGTCTTTCTTTGATTAAGATAGTAGATTTAGCATACAATACTGGCGATTATTTGATTTACTTTTATTAAAGAAAGTAAAATTACAATACGATTAAGTAGATATAGGAAATGTCCCTACAATAGTGACGTTATGTAACGCAATACACTACACACACACCAACAAGCCTTTTTGCGGCCTTAGCCGGTCTCGAACATCAGCACTTAAAATGAATAATTGGTCAGAGCTGTTAAAGAAGGATCAAAGCAAATTAAAAATCAGTGAATGTGTTTGTCCTTGAGAACGATTGAATACGCGACAAATACGTACAGAGAACACCAATAAACATTCAGAATAAATCAAATATCATTTACCCGTGGTGAAAGGAAAAAGGAACACCCCAACTTATTTGATTTCTGCCACTTTCACCACCATGTTGAAAATAACGCTACCACAATGCAACGCAATCGGAGTGCATTCAGTGGGAGAGGACTATAACTAGTTTGATTTGGATCTGTCATACACGAGTTCCTCGATTATGATCATTAAAATAATTGCCTAAACGATAAAAGCATTTTACAAATATTGGTGGAATGGTAAAATTAACCAAAAAGGTAGCAGATGATGTCGCTAGTATCACTAGAAAATTGCCAAATATTCTTCTGGTTAGCTCTTCCGTTATTTAACATTTACATTTTCTATAATAAAAGAAGCAGTGTAAACTTTGTCTCCTATCTGGTTATGGACATAAATATAGATTAACCCCTCAGTAACAACGAAGTTTTGGTATGGTAGCTTTCTTCCATGATGTAGTTAGTCATTTATTCGACAAGTATTCTGGCCATTCTGTTCTCTTTTGTAGTATCTCTAAATGGCTATACTGTTTGGTGTTCTCTCTGGCAGCAGATATTCGTAAGGGACCTCTAACCGTTTATTTCTTTCCTTTATTGCGCTGGAAATCTCATTGAGCTTTCCTTGAAAGCGTAGAATTGCTTCCAATGCAGCGTTGTCGGTGAATAGGCCGTCCGTATAGTCACCAAGGAAACGCTTAGGGAGAAAAAAAACGGATGATTTTTTAGTAAGTGAAGGTAGGAAGAGTTATCCATAAGTCAGCACGTCAGCTTTGTCCGATAAAGAGGTCGATGAGACTTTTAGTCTCCCTCCGACCAGGAAGATAAATGGGTTCCAAGGGTCGTTAACTGTGAGTCAAACCCTTTAAAATGCTGGGGGTGACCTTTGATTGACATGCCTCATCTTATCCTAGTCTCGTGGCAACTCCTAATTGTTTCTTGAAGCTACCGTAACCTGAACAATCTTTGGTAACAGTGAGTCTCGTGTTCAAACTTGAATTCAACCAATATCCAGCACCATTCACAATAATGGATACTTAAATATGTCGCATTTTGATCAATTTGGCTATCTTCCCCACATCCCCTGGTCATATTTTGAATCAGGCTGACCTGAATTAAAATTACCTCGTCTGGAAAGATGCGTGTCAAATCATACACTGTTGCTATGGTTACTCCCGCCTGATGCTTTGTTGGTAAACATTTCATGACATCTTTTATGGTTACAACTCCCTTCCTTGTGGGAGGCGGCTGTCGCATCAGAGCGGGAGCGTTTGGCGGGAAACCAAAAGTATCCATTTGAGAAAAATTCACAGCCGCGTGTTGGCACGAGCAGGTGAAGATTATGATAGTCAGCAGATGTGTCAGCTCTGGGATGCTTTTAACCGATACAGGGAAGCCATGACATTTCTCCCCGTTACGCACAGGATAACCATTGTTGTGGAGATCCAGAATCCACGCTTGGAGCTCTGTGTCCTGTGAAGAGTTGTTAAACCATTATTTCAAAAGACCTGGTTGAAACAGTTGGAATCGTTACTTTTGCATTAATATCAAGGGCTGTAAGATATATTCGCTGAGAATTAATGGCTGACGATGCACCAATAAGCTATATCCCAACGAGCAACGACTCTCAGATACACGAGTCGTCTAGAACTTCTTAGTGTTTAGAGTGGATATGTTTGCATGCGGTTTTAAGAAAATTGCTTAAAGATATATGAAGGATGAGTACG